TCACTCACTCACTCTCAACTGTATCCGCACCCTAAGCAACAATTTTTGGCAGCATCCATAACTGAGGTATTCCAGTTACGGTTACAGTTGCCATGGTAATGATAATATCTACTTGTATTCCATATATAAGATGATGGCAGTACACATGACTGTTGACAAATGAATATCATGACTCAGTCAGTTCAATTCAACATTCCATTCTGGGGCAGATATGTTTTTTAATACTCATTTTCAAAGGAGACTGTATCCCCTCATTTTTTTGTTAGCCTCTCCTAGCAGCCTTGAACACTGCTACAAACTATATAACCCAAATGTTATTAAGAGCTGAACTGTATAAACAGTAACAACCTGTTACTACCTTTAGCATTGGTATTAACTCCCTGGTATTAATGTTATTATCAGTAACAACCTGTAACTACCTTTAGCATTGATATTAATGTTATTATCAGTAACAAACTGTAATGCTGCTATGAAGTGTTATCACTAACTGTAACGCTGGTATGAACTTTATTACCAACCTGTAACACTGGTATAAACTGTTACCAGTAGCTGTGTCACTGGTATGATTTCTGGTAACAGTAAAAACCGGTAACATGGTTGTAAACATACCAGTCACAACCTGTAACACTGGTATAAACTGTTACCAGTAGCTGTGTCACTGGTATGATTTCTGGTAACAGTAAAAACCGGTAACATGGTTGTAAACATACCAGTCACAACCTTTAACACTGGTATAAACTTTTACCAGTAGCTGTCTGTGTCACTGGTATGATTTCTGGTAACAGTAAAACCGGTAACATGATTGTAAACATACCAGTCACAACCTGTAACACTGGTATAAACTCTTACCAGTAGCTGTCTGTGTCACTGGTATGATTTCTGGTAACAGTAAAAACCGGTAACATGGTTGTAAACATACCAGTCACAACCTGTAACACTGGTATAAACTTTTACCAGTAGCTGTCTGTGTCACTGGTATGATTTCTGGTAACAGTAAAAACCGGTAACATGGTTGTAAACATACCAGTCACAACCTGAAACACTGGTATAAACTTTTACCAGTAGCTGTCTGTGTCACTGGTATGATTTCTGGTAACAGTAAAAACCGGTAACATGGTTGTAAACATACCAGTCACAACCTTTAACACTGGTATAAACTTTTACCAGTAGCTGTCTGTGTCACTGGTATGATTTCTGGTAACAGTAAAAACCGGTAACATGGTTGTAAACATACCAGTCACAACCTTTAACACTGGTATAAACTTTTACCAGTAGCTGTCTGTGTCACTGGTATGATTTCTGGTAACAGTAAAAACCGGTAACATGGTTGTAAACATACCAGTCACAACCTGTAACACTGGTATAAACTTTTACCAGTAGCTGTCTGTGTCACTGGTATGATTTCTGGTAACAGTAAAACCGGTAACATGGTTGTAAACATACCAGTCACAACCTGTAACACTGTTATGGATTATAACTAGAATGTGTCTGTAACAACAGTATAGACCCAAATGTAACATTGTTGGAAAGTGTGTTCAAAGTAACAACCTGGTAGATGTTCAAACCAGAAACAGCCTGTGAGACTGATATGGACTCTATTTCCAGCCTGTTACACAATTTGAAACTATTACCAGTAAATATCTGTAGCACTTGTATGAACTGCAATTCCAGTAACAACCTGTCTCAGTGGTATGAATAATTACTACCTGTAATGCTGGTATGAACTGTATAACCAGTAAATGTCTGTAACCTTGGTATGAACAATAATTACCTCTAAAACTGGTATGAATTGTATGAACAGTGACAAATGGTAACACTGGTATGAACTGAACTACCAGTAAATATCTGTAACCTTGGGTGTCATTGGTTCCCAGTTGCGCAGATCGATGCTCATGCTGTTGATCACTGGATTGTCTGGTCCAGACTTGATTATTTACAGACCACCGCCATATAGCTGGAATATTGCTGAGTGCGGCGTAAAACAACTCACTCACTCACTGTATCCTTGGTATGAACAGCAACAACTTGTAACACTGGTATGAACAGCAACAACTTAAAACACTGGTATTAACTGACCAGTAAATATCTGTAACCTTGGTATCAACAGTAACAATATGTAACACTGGTATGAACAGCAACAACTTGTAACACTGGTAATATTAGACTACCAGTAAATATCTGTAACCTTGGTATCAACAGTAACAATATGTAACACTGGTATGAACAGCAACAACTTGTAACACTGGTAATAACTGACCAGTAAATATCTGTAACCTTGGTATCAACAGCAACAACTTGTAACACTGGTATGAACAGCAACAACTTGTAACACTGGTAATAACTGACCAGTAAATATCTGTAACCTTGGTATCAACAGCAACAATTTGCAACTCAAGTATGAACTGTAATACCAGTGACAGTATGTAACACTGGTATGAACTGTTTGAACAGTAACAATCTGTAACTCTGGTATGAACTTAAGTAAAAGTAACAGCCAAATAAACTTCTATGCAATTATCGATGATGTTCGCTTCAGAAATTCACTTGACCTGATTGCCATTCTTCTGGGATGTATATAGTGAGGCTCTTTGCTTGTATGTATAGTCTTTCACATTTGTCAAGTTTGATGAATTATATGTTAATGATTTGAACTTTGCTGAAGGTTTAGTTGGTTATACAACTAAGTTTATTCCATTACACCTTTGAGATTGTATGCAGTTAAATTGAAAATGGTTTCCAATCTGTACATCTTTGGGTTTTTGTTGTTGAATGATTGAATAAATAATTGGCATTTCAGAAACAGTTTGTTGTCAGTTCTCTCCCTTGAAAACCTTTGCTGGGGAAACTGAAGCCTTGTCCACCAGGGGCGGTGGGATGGCCTGGTGGTTAAGGCGTTTGCTGGTTACGCCGAAGACCCAGGTTCGATTCCCCACATGGGTACAATGTATGAACCCCATTTTTGGTGCCCCCCTGCCGTGATATTGCTGGAATATTGCTAAAAGCGGCATAAAACTAAACAACTCGCTCACGTTTTGATCGGTCGTTCGACTCTGTGTCTCACCTGTTTTTGTGACCTGACCTGGGCGTGTTGGACAATCCTTAATGTGGCAGGGATATTGTGACCTCTTTGTGAAACATCAGTTGAGTAAAACCATCTGAAGTTTCATTTATGTTGGCAATATAGTTCTGTAGGATTGTCTCGTTGGTGCAGAGAGAGTATCTACCTTCAAAGCGAAATGTCGGTCTTTGATTCCATCATTCCAGACAGTGTCATACAAAAGATTTTAAAATATGGTACTTGTTGTCACCCTGGCTGGCACTCTGTGTTAAGGGAATAAAACAATGGTTGGTCAGCACGGAGTCGGTATGCTGTGTCTAAGTGGGGTAGCCAGGTTAAAACTGTACCATGGAATGTAGGAGCTCTCACTGTAAAACCAGATTTCGTCTGCTTTAGAACAATAACGAACAGTGAGTGAGTGAGTGTGGTGTTGAGCCGCTTTTAGCAATATTTCAACAAATCCACAACAGGGGACACCAGAAACGGGCTTCACACATTGAACCCATGTGGGGAATCGAACCCGGGTCCTCGGCGTGACGAACACTTTAACCACTAGACTAGCCCACCGCCCCCAATAGGTGAGGTGAGGTGAAATTGGGTTTAACGTCGTACTTGAGAATATTTCGCTCATATGACGACGTGCATGCGTGTGTATGTGTATGTGCGGCTGCTTGTACTAGCCCAGACTGAAGCTGGTTTTATAGTGCTAGCCCACTGAGATACCATGCCGCAGTGAAGCATGAATAGCCCACTCCGACACATTATACTGACTCCGAGCCGACCAGTCCTTGTTGTACCCATTAATGCCGAGCGCCAGGCAGGGACCAACAAGTACCATATTTTAACGTCTTTTGGTATGACGCGGTCGGGGATCGAACCCGCGACCTTCCGCTCTCCGGGCGCACCGCCCCCAATAACGCACAGCGATCTGTATGCAAGTTGCAATGAGGTAGTTTTGAAAGAAAGGTTAAACCCCACGTTGCCTCCCTAAATATAAGAACCATGACTGTGACTTATTGAATTCTTGAATGTGTCATTGGATTGACTTACGGATCATGCTTGGTCTGCCCGTCCAAACTCTGTAACAAATATATTGCGCAAAATGGCACAAAACAACATTCTGTCATTATATAGAGCAATTTATTAAACATTGCTCTGCATTTCAAAAGACCGCCTCCGTGGTGTAGTGGTTAGAGCGTCCGCCCGGAGAGCGGAAGGTCGCGGGTTCGATCCCCGACCGCGTCATACCAAAAAGACGTTAAAATATGGTACTTGTTGGTCCCTGCCTGGCGCTCGGCATTAATGGGTACAAGAAGTAGTACAAGCAGCCGCACATACACATACACACGCATGCACGTCGTCATATGAGCGAAATATTCTCAAGCACGACGTTAAACCCAATTTCACCTCACCTCACCGCATTTCAAAAGTTCATTGCCTATACGGTAACAGTGGATTTCCTTAATAGTCAATGCCTTGGTGTGAGGTTTGCTAGTACAATTTATGCCTAAATATTAAGTTTTGATGTCACAAAACAATACTTTTAGAAAATAATGTATTAATGTTTCTTCAGCAATATATGGGTGAATACATATATAGGCGGCCCGGTCCCTCAGGTGTTTCAACTGAATGTGCAGAGTTCTGCCCCTTCCTTGTGCCAGGATCTGAAGAATTTTATTGTATTGTTAGGGTTCAACGAAGCCACCTTTTTAACCATTGAACTGCGTCGGTGCATGTGAAGAAGGTTGGATCGAAGGATGATGGGTATCTCAAATATTTCTCCGCCCCAGATTTGTAAAACCGCACCACAGTAATATTCATACATAGTGTATTGTCATATATTATCATACTATCATATGGGCGTTTCTTCTGTTTAATCGCTTGAGTATTAATAGGTGTTTGATACAGTGATAAAGTGATCGCTGATTTCCCTGACAGGTCAGATAGATAGTGTATCACTGATAATGTAGAACTCTCAGACTTCATCAGGATCACGATGTGGTATCAGAGTCTGCTGTGTGTCGGGGCTGCTCTCTGTGTCTGTCTGAGTTGGGGGGAGCCGTCGAACGAGGTGAGTGAGTGAGTGAATGTTGCTATAAGCCTCGGAAGGAGGTAACAGATTAATTTTATGACACGACATGAAGTAGGTGAGCTTGATTAAAAGCCTCATCTAACAGTGCATCTGTTACATCAGCGTGTCTGTTTCATGTGGGAATGAAGTCCGAAGTGACGCAAGTCTCAGGCGGTGATCAAATACGCTTTCACGGTTAAAGTTCTCGCAAACCTTGCAGCATTTTCAGATCAGATGGAAAAATATCACATTATGATATTATATTAGGGATTACACGTTCTCAGTAAAGTAAGACTTTATCCGATTTTCGAACCCACAGGCATCTAATAGTCAGAACACAAAGTCAGCCGTCTAACCCACTCAGCCCCCGCTGCTTCCTCAACAATGGAAGACAGACAGCTGGTAGTCCAGATCACGTATTTTTTGTATGCCTGTGACAAGTGTAAACTGGCGAGGCTACCATTGCCATGAGCTATGAGTGAGTGAGTTCAGTTTTACCCCGCTTTTAACAATATTCTAGCTATATCACGGCGGGGGACACCAGGAAGCTATAACATGAGCTATGACACATGTGGTAAACGGATCAGTGTATTGTGCCATGAGCATCTGAATGGTTTACTTCAGCTTTTTGATAAGTAGCAGATGATGGACATGGACTTGAATGTTCACTTCCTTAAATGGGATGACAGCTGATCTAGCCGCGGCATCTCAATCGGGTGGCACATCCGTGCTCACTTTATCGACCACTTGTTTGTGTGCCAGGAAGTTTGACCTTGTATACATGTCAGTGAGTGAATTATGTTGTGCGCAGCAAGCTGAAGAATTTTAGTATAAACTTGAAAATTGATTTGACCATAAAATGAAAAAAATCCAAACCGTTACAAGAGCAATCTGAAGAATTTTAGTATAAACTAGAAAATTCGATTTGACCATAAAATGAAAAAAATCCAAACCGTTACAAGAGCAATCTGAAGAAATTTAGTATAAACTTGAAAATTGGATTTGACCATAAAATGAAAAAAATCCAAACCGTTACAAGAGCAATCTGAAGAATTTTAGTATAAACTTGAAAATTGGATTTGACCATAAAATGAAAAAAAATCCAAAACCGTTACCCAAACGTGTGTTTTGTTATATAACGCCGTTCTCAGCAATATTCCAGCTATGTAGCGGCCGTCTGTAAATAATCAATTCTTGACCAGACACGCCGTGAAACTGGAATTCTGTTATACGCGGCCCTAAACTTCACTCACTCACCCAAAATGTTACACCCAGACTACGTTACCCTCACCTACGAGCCACCTCTCTCTGTGTCTACCCAGTACCCACCCAGGGAGCTCCTCGACAAGCTAGCGTCAAAGGTGACACCGGGCGTTCATCCCTTTGATGAAGACAGCCATGGCATCCACAAGAACATCGTGTGCGACATGTGCGAGGTATACGTGACCTTCATACAGCTCTGGTTCCAGAAGGGCAAGACCGAGGATGAAATCGTGAAGCTCGCCACTGATGTCTGCATCGATATGAAGTCAGCCTCAGACAGAATCTGCAGACTCATCACTCGGGAGTACAAGGTAATGCGTTGCGCAGTGACACATGACAGGGACTTCTGTCAACACTTCGTTTTCTTTAGGACTTAGGGGCGGTGGGGTAGCCTAGTGGTTAAAGCGTTCGCTCGTCATGCCGAAGACACGGGTTCGATTCCCATATGGGTACAATGTGTGAAGCCCATTTCTGGTGTCCCTCGTCGTGATATTGCTGGAATATTGCTAAAAGCGGCGTAAAACCCAACCCACTCACTCACTCGCTTTGGGGCTCTGGATCAAACAGTTTTACAAACGTGTGTCTGAAGTGCAATACTACAAAACTGTAGAGCCGTACACGAACCAGGAAAGACGTTACTACTGTCTGACTTGGTTAAAACAAGCCATCGTATGCCAAGTACGTAGATCGGTGCTCATGATGTCAATCGCTGGGTTATGTAGCCCAGGCTCTATACTCTACAATTCACCATCATATAGCTGGAAAACTGCTGGAAACTAAACTTATACTACTACTACTACTACTACTACTACTACTACTACTACTACTACTACTGGGGCAGTGGGGTATCCCAGTGGTTAAAGCGCCCATCGTCACGCTGAGGGCCATTTTCACGCACTCAGTACTACTGCAATAGACCTCTATTACTCTCTCGTTATTCGTATAACTCCTACTCCTACAACAACAGCAACACCCCCTGCTACTACTGCCACTATATCCCTCGTCTTGATGAAGCTCGAATATTGCTAAAAGCGGCGTAAAACCATTCTCACTCACTACTACTGCAACAGCCCACTATTACGTCTTATTCGTATTACTCCTACTTCTACAACAACCACTACCACCGCTACCACTACCACTACCACTACTACTGCTGCTGCTGCTGCTGGTAGTAGTAGTAGTACTACTACTACTTCTATTGCAATTACTACTATTACTACTACCATTGCAATTACTACTACTACTACTACTATTATTGCAACTACTACTACTATTACTGCAACTACTACTACTATAATTGCAACTACTACTAAACTATTATTATTTTTGCAACTACTACTATTGCAACTACTACTACAATTGCAACTACTACTACTATTATTGCAACTACTACTATTACTACTGTTACTACTACTACTACTCCTACTATTACTACTACTACTACTACTACTACTTACTACTTCTACCACCACCATTAAGATGATACACATAAAACTCCATGCGTACCATGCATCTATTCAGGATGAGGTGTTGGGTGTGGTGGGCCAGCTTGCCCTGTCGCCGACCGAGGTGTGCGGCATCATCATGGGGTCCTCGTGCGACATCCCCTACAACCCTGACCAGTGGTGGAACGTCTCCCTGCCCTCAACACCCAAACCCCCCGTACTACCTCCACGGCCACCCGGAGTAAGTCACAGCAATCTAAGTACAGTGTGACCTTTACACCCGTCGAGTCACTTCCATAAATCGTTTATCAGATCTGTTCACAGAGAGGTTATAGTACTACTACGACTGTGATTATGATAAGATGTTAGAGATAAAGAGAGTGTTTTAAATGAAGATGATAAAATAAATGAAATTCGTACCATGCACTCTGTCTGGTTACCCTTCCTTTATGCTGTCAAACAATTCATTCCTATGTTTCGAACTCTCGATTATACTCCTAACAAGGCCCGGGTTCGATTCCCCACATGGGTACAATGTGTGAAGCTCAGTTCTTGTGTCACCCGTTGTGATGTTGCTGGAATATTCCTAAAAGCGGCGCAAAACCATACTAACTCACTCACTACTCCTGAGACACGTGTGCTATCGGGGTATTTCACCAGCCATCTTCCCCACTTGTAATGTGTTTCATCTCAAGCCATCTTCCCCAACGTTTAATGTCAAAGTGATTCTTCCTTAGCCATCTTCCCCAACGTGTAATGTCAAAGTAATTCTTCCTCAGCCATCTTCCCCAACGTGTAATGTCAAAGTAGTTCTTCCTCACCCATCTTCCCAACTTGTAATGGGTTTCCTCCTCAGCCATCTTCCCCACTTGTAATGGGTTTCCTTCTCAGCCATCTTCCCCACTTGTAATGGGTTTCCTCCTCAGCCATCTTCCCCACTTGTAATGGGTTTCCTCCTCAGCCATCTTCCCCAACGTGTAATGTCAAAGTCATTCTTCCTCAACCATCTTCCCCACTTGTAATGGGTTTCCTTCTCAGCCATCTTCCCCACTTGTAATGGGTTTCCTCCTCAGCCATCTTCCCCAACGTGTAATGTCAAAGTAATTCTTCCTCAGCCATCTTCCCCACGTGTAATGTCAAAGTAATTCTTTCCCAGCCATCTTCCCCACGTGTAAAGTCAAAGTAATGCTTCCTCAGCCATCTTCCCCACGTGTAATGTCAAAGTAATCCTTTCTCAGCCATCTTCCCCACGTGTAATGTCAAAGTAATTCTTCCTCAGCCATCTTCCCCACGTGTAATGTGAAAGCAATTCTTCCCCAGCCATCTTCCCCCAAGCTGAGGGTGCTCCACCTGACCGACATCCACATCGACCTCATGTACGAGGTGGGCTCCAACACCGACTGCGGCGAACCCGTCTGCTGCCGATCCAACGACGGCAAACCAGGTACATCCTCCAATGCCGATTACTCTTTTTTCTGTCATGCTGAGTACCACGGTCCCATTTGGATTCATACCTTTTGTCTGAAAGCGACTATCCGTCACGAGTGTGACCATTTGTCTGTTAACACACTATCCAAGGAGACCAGCTCCATGGATAGGGGGACTGCGCGGAGGGTGGATGGCCGGTTATTCTATCCCCGGCTGCGTCAGTTAAAATATGGTACTTATTGTTGCCCTGTCTGGTTTATGGCATTTAGGCGATAAGGAAGCTCTGGTCGGTTCGGAGTCAATATACTTTGTCTAAGTGCTGTAGACTGAGAACAGGCTTTAGTTCGGACAAATACAAGTGCATGCATAGACACGCACGCACGCACGCACGCATATACACGCACGAAAATACGATACTGCACAAGTGCAATAATCATCGCGTTTCATCTCATCTCAAATATCAAAGTGCACGATGAATATAATATTAAGACCAACTCCACTCTGCGTTTTCCCCTCACTCATCTGACATATCCGAGACACTGTTAAAGCAGCGCCACTCTCACTTGTTTCTTTACAGCCCCGGGGGTGTCGGGCGCCGGCAGGTGGGGTGACTACAGACTGTGTGACATCTCCATGAGCCTCGTCAACACCCTCTTCGAACATCTCGCCACCATAAAGGACCAGGTATATGTGGTCGTTATACTCGATCAGGGTATTAATGTGTGTAGCATCAGCCCTGAACATGATTACGTTTCATGTCCAAAAGGGGCTGTGGTTAGCCTAGAGGTTAAAGCGTTCGCTCGTCACGCTCATGACCTGGGTTCGATTTCCACATGGGTACAATGTGTAAAGCCCATTTCTGGTGTCCCCCGCCATGATGTTGCTGAAATATTGCCAAAAGCGGCGTAAAACCACACTCACTCACTGGTTTACACTCAATAGGGGGCAGAGAGGTAGCCTAGTCACGCTACGGTCGGTTCTATGCGCGACATACGTGCAATGTTTGCAGCCCAATATTAGTGTCGTCTGTCTTCGTATTGCTGGAATGTATAACGTAGTGTAAAGCCTAAGTCGTGCTGTTTGAAAGGTGGTATAATTGCGGTTCCTCGTCACTCGTATATTAAACTAATATTCCAGCTTTATTTCTAGAACATTGTGGTTTGGTTTTATGTTTCGTCCATTCCTTATATATGACGTTACAATTCACATCTCTCATAGTTCCACTTTGCACTCATTCCAGTTAACAGTTTGGGTGGAATATGTGTCCATTCCGGTTCCACTGCACCAATTCCAGTTCGATTTTAGGGCCTTTCTTGTTCGATTACGCTCTCATTCCAGATTCTGTCACTGTTCCAGTTCCACTGCTGTCATTTGTGATGGACTTGACTCTCATTCCAGTTTACCTATGTGACATGACAGGTTGACAATGCTATCATTCCAGTTTTATTGTATGACATCCAGTTCGACTTTGCACTCATTCCAGTTTGACTGTGTGACCGTTCTAGTTCTGCCCCGCTGTCATTCCGTTTTGACTATACCACCATTCCAGACCTAGTTTGACATGCCGTTATTCCAGTTATATTTATCACATTCCAGTTCTGCTTCGCTCTCATTCCGTTCTTGACCATTCTGAATCAAACATGGTATCATTCCAGTTTCAGTTTATGACATTCCAGTTCGACAATGCTCTCATTCCAGTTTGACTTTGTGATCTTCACTGGGGATATCCCGGCACACGATGTGTGGAACCAGACCCGCAGTCAGCAGATCGCCGCAACACAGAGACTGACGAATCTCTTCCACCAGCACCTGCCGGGTAAACAGGTATACTTCTGTGTCGGCAACCACGAGAGCGCACCTGTCGACAGGTACAGTAGCGCCTGCACCCACAGATGCGTAATACTTACTAGGCTAGTACGAATGTGTTAAAATACCTTCATATTAAGTAAACCATAATAAAGACGATAATCACAAGAAGTTCATTTCGCTCTTGACTCGGGGCGGTGGGGTAGCCTAGTGGTTAAAGCGTTCGCTCGTCACGTCGAAGACCCGGGTTTGATTCCCCACATAGGCACAATGTGTGAAGCCTTGATATTGCTGGAATATTGCTAAAAGCGGCGTAAAACTAAACTCTCTCACATTTCACTCAGCTTTGTATTTGGCCCAGTGGCAGGGAAACGGACCACTTGAATGTGTTGTGGATGCTGTATGAAAAGAATTTCATAAAGTTATTGTAGCACTGAGGAAGATGAAAGCGCACAACTGTTTTCATATCCATATCTGGGACCTGGGTGGTCCTGTCGTCTCAATATTGCAGTATTTACCTTTGAGGCGCGGGTTTGATTCTGATTGTTATCTTTGGTTTCTCCAGATCTATACCCATGCTAGTGTTTCCAAAAAGTATTGAACATCTAAGACCAGATTGACTTTGTGATTTACTTCAACCTGAAAAATCGTGATATATGTGAAACCAATTTCAAAGGCGCCTCAAAGCCAACTGACTTATTCGTCTATATCAATTCCACAATAATTATTCTTCATCAACCTGATACCCGTGAATATCCGGTTAAAATTGGTCTTCAGCAACCCAGAGGCGACTAACAGGATCGGGTGGTCAGGCTTGTTGACTTGGTTGACACATGTCATCGTATCACAATAGATCGGTGATCACTGGATTGTCTTGTTCAGAGTGGATTATTTACAGGCCGCTGACTGATAGCTGGAATATTGCCTCGTGCGACATTAACCAACCAACCAACAAACAAACAAACAAACAAACAAACAAACAATCAACCTGATACTTTCAGTTTCCCACCACCGGAAGTGACGGGCAACAACTCTATCTCCTGGTTGTACACGGTGTTGGCCGAGTCGTGGGGCATATTGGCTCCCCGTGAAAATCCAGTATAGAATTGATCTTCAGCAACTCATGCAAGGAAGATGCCAAACAGACAATACTGAAGTGAGTCTCCGTATAATGCGCCAGAGATAAAGTTGCTTCCGGAAACGGCCATAACTTTTTATAAGGTTACCTTAAATGCCAACCTTAGAGATAAGGTTAACCTCAGTGAAGGTTGCTTTGTGAAAGGAGGCCCTCCTTGACACAGGCAATCATATCCCAATTGCCTAGATCGATTGACTAGGGGTTCAGTTGACAGAATATTTGATTTACCACGTGCTTTTTAGGGGCGCCTATTTCACCGTCTCCCCCTACCCCGGTTTCCGCATCGTCTCCATCAACACCAACTACTGCAACAAAGCCAACTGGTGGCTCCTTCTCAACAGGACGGACCCGGCAGATCAGCTGCAGTGGCTTACCCACGTGCTGCAGGCGGCGGAGGACGCCAGGGAAAAGGTTGGACACCTCACATGATAACTAAACAACCCACATGCTAACTAAACAGCGCCCTGGCTCTTGGAACCACACACGTATTTTTTAACAGTTTCTTGGCCACAGTCACGATATGTCCGAAATGATGCCGATGTGACTAAAACTCTTAACTCACTCACTCACTTAACCAGATAATTGTTTTCGTGTTTGTGGATTTTTAACGGGTCACTTATAAATAAATTTTCACAGTTAATTTTAACTATGAAAAAATAGTATCAAATGATAATTACCTTAAATTTCATCAACTTTATATTTTGGCAGGCAATACATGTATTTCCAAAGTATGTGAATTGTTGGCAGGTATAAGTATTTCGTAGGTGTTATGTGAAACCAATGCATATACTGAGACACCCCTGAATCATCTTAGTGTCATCAGTCGTGAGATTCCTGTTTATAAATTAAATTAGTTTAGCAAGTGTTGCACGTTGTTTCAATATTTAACCTTCACGCAAAATAGGGTGTGACCTACAAGATACTTGACCAAAACGAATTTTGCTAAGAAACCTATTGTAATTCTGACAAAAAATGCCTTATTTTGGGGGATATGAAGAAGTTTCTTCAGTATAAAGCCCACAGGCCCATGTACATTACATAACATGCAACACATACATACAGCGTGGTGGTGGTTCGAAAACTGTACAGATGAAGGGCATACTATACACAACGAACGTAATAAAGCACCCTCTGTATTCTGGCAATGATAGGTATTCAACACATACATAAAGTTTCTCGTGGTGACCACAATGGAAAAACATGAGTTTTCCTGACTCGTATGACCCTTTTTTTGACCGACAAAATCATGTCACGGATTTTATGATGATAATTGCTCATTTTAAAAAAAACAATCAACACACAGTAATTTTCATACAAAAAAGTGTCTGCACAAGAATGGTTCTGGAATGTTTAATGTTGAATTTATTGGTAAATGTGCACATTCAAAATGTCATTTTGCGTGTCTTACACGATTCATTACCGAGTGTAATCTCCATGTGACTGTATGACGGCCAGCACTCTCCTCCTGATCCTCTGAACGGCCAGTCTTCACCGTTCCTCGTGTAAAGCAGCTTCCAACTGGGCCAGGTTCTGTACAGGAGGACCCCTTTGTTGCACACGGCGACCAACCATGTCCCAGATATGCTCCAAAGGGTTAGGGGCGGTGGGGTAGTCTAGTGGTTAAAGCGTTGGCTCGTCACGCCGAAGACCCGGGTTCGAATCCCCACATGGGTACAATGTGTGAAGCCTATTTCTGGTGTCCCCCGCCGTGATATTGCTGGAATACCAAACTCAGTCAGTCAGTCAGTCCAAAGGGTTAAGATCGGGGTTCATTCAATGGTGAGATATGTCAAGGGGTGCTTAACTAAGTTCTTTGTGTATATCGTAATAGTGAGGAACGTATAGATAAAGCTTCTTTGACATATTTTGAACACTTAATTAAGGTCAATGACATTAGTTAGCTGGTGGTTCGAAAGCTGTACAGATGAAGGGTATACTATTTAGGAATATGGATTATAGAGGTTTCAACTACATTTTAGACATGCCGGTCTCCTGTTTCAGGTGTTCATTCTAACCCACATACCCCCCGGGGAAGGACAATTGTCTGAAGCCGTGGAGCTGGAACTACTACAGAATTGTCAACAGGCGAGTGATTCACACATGCATTAATCAGATCTTAGTTCTCGCTACCACTACACATATTCTGTGGAACGCCCATTACGATATTTCATCCAACCCATCAGAGCGCTGCTTACGACACAAATAGTTAAAGTCCAAAAAACATTTTCTGATCAGGCAATCTCGAACAGGTTTACACGAGGTCTTCCGAATGACAGTTCACGGGACGAACGGCCAATTCTATTAAACACATCCACTGCTCGTCTGTCGCTTCAAGTATTATAAACATTGAAACGGAAGAGATGTTCCACAGCCCATGAGAAGGCCAGGCACACAGTCTCGGTAATTTGCTGGTTCAGTTTTCAGATTTGGAATCAAGAACCAACTCAAAATGTTTCTCAAGCTGAGTCTCAGTGACATTTTAAACCCAATGCTGTTAAACTCGATAAAGCCGCTTTCTGATTGGCTCATGTCAATTCCTGTCTGTCTTTGCATTGGTGGGCAAAAGACGAAAGGTCGTGATGTGAGGTCCTCAGACCTTTGTGAAGCGGTAGCGAGGAAATAGATCTGATTTTCATAACATCGGTCTGAATTCGGAGGGCAAACATGCCTCAATACCCAATGAGCACTAAGAACTAAACGAAGGTTGCTAGATGACAATGTAACTGGAATATTGCTGAGTGCGACGCAAAACTAAACTCACTCACTTACTCACTCACTTCTATGGACACAGTGACGCATTTAGTGACCGTTTATGTCCATACAGGTACGAGAGCACCATAATGGCTCAGTTCTATGGACACACCCACAAGGACCAGTTTGAAGTGTTCTATGATGACGTCAACTTCACTCGACCAACCAACATCGGCTACGTCATGGGGGGCATCACCACTCGCGGTGACATGAACCCTAGTTACAGGATTTATACTATGGACGGAAACTACAGCTCCAGCTCCTGGGTGAGATTCACGTCAATGATGACATAATTAATACAATGATCAATAGCCGCTACAACTATTTTTGAGGGTCTAGACATATCAAAATTATTGCTCAGTAGCTCGTACAACTATTCTTAAGGGACTAGACGAATTAACATTAAGGATATGTTGTATTTAGATTTATGTAGGCAATGTAACGATAACAAATTTAATATAAATCAAAACGTGTGAAGATAGATCATCAGCCCAATGTATATTCCCTTCAGATTTTAACGACTTTTCTAAGCATATCTATATCAAAACACGTCCGGTATTTGCTAACTAAACAGTTTTAACACATATCTTAACATTGCACTTGTTTCACCTTAAAACAATCGGCAAACTCTTTGGCTAACATGAAGTCTCTGAAATGAAATATATTTTTAAATTATAAACAAATATAATGAAAAGGGGCCAAGGGACTTCTAGACTTGCCAAATATTATAGACTTGCATTGGCTATATTAGATATAATTGTTTAATTGTCTGTATCACAGACGCAGTGATCTCTGTAACTTGGTAGTACCGAAGCCACTATACATTAAAAGTTTCTTTTGTACACGTTGTCTCTGTATGATTGCAAAATTGCTGGTCTGACGTAAAATTATAATTGACTCACTAACTCCATAGCTGCAATGACTAGAGACAACCAAAACACAGCTGATCCGGACGACAGTTTACTGGTCACTCGTCACAATGTCAGGGTTACACCCGGCCGGGTATACCGCACGACTAATAATTATTAATGATCTGGACAACAAGTTTAAACTGTATCATATTTCCAACTTTGAATTGACATTTCAAACAATACCCATAACCAAACTACAACAAAACAATGTTATCCTTTATAACAGAAGTACATGCTTTGAAGCATTATAAATTCAAATAAAGGTTCACTTTCTCTTGAAAATTAACTTAAACAGTCGCTTCATCCAACTTTCACTGTTACTGCTGGTCAGAAAACCAGCTGACTTTTGTCAGTGACAAAAAAGAAAGACATAACGCTATTTGCATTTGATCTAGACTTGAATGTGTTTCTCATATTTTGTAAAATATACTGAGTCAAAAAAGAAACTTCACAAAATCTAATTTGAAAAAGAATGAATAATTTTTCTCTGATGATACATCTATGTATCCGAAATGGGATCCCTATCTTTCGACTCTAGAAAAACGTTAGCAAAACCCACTCAAACCCATCCAGTCGTCGTGCAAATGACGTTTTTGCAATCAGGTTTTGCACGTGCAGTCGATCACGTGATCTTCGCGTCGAAGTTTTCTTCATATGCACGTGTTTGCATTGGCCTCAAGAATTGAAAAAAACACTTTTAAACCACAGTTCTAACGGTACTTGAAATGCCACGATTGTCAAATGTGCAATGTGAACGTGCCGTTGGCATGTTGCAAGCGGGAAGATCAGTTAGTGACGTCGCAAGAGCAATGGGATGCAGCCGTCGAACTGTGTATGACTTGCAAGGTCGTCTACAACAAACTGGCACCACTTCTGATCGCCCAAGGTCGGGTCGTCCACGTGTGACGTCACGAGCAGAAGACCGTCAAATCATCCTACGTCACCTCCGTGACAGAATTCTGCCAGCTACACGAACCAGGGCTGAGATGTTTAGAGGTCGACTGTCCTCACAGACCATTCGAAATTTGTTGCCGGCTGCCAATCTCCATTCTCGACGTCCATATCGTGGGCCAATATTGACGCCGTTTCATCAACGTCAATGTCTGTTGTGGGCCCAACGTCACCTCCGATGGACCCAGAGAGACTGGAATCGAGTCGTCTTTACCGATGAATCCAGGTTTACCCTCAGATTCGCGGACGGCAGGCATAGAGTCTGGGGACGACGTCGTGAACGGTATGCTCAATGTTGTGTACAGGAAGTCGACAGATTCGGGGGCGGAAGTTGCATGGTGTGGGATGCTTTCTGTGGGAACAACCGTTCCCGACTTCTGGTCATCCGTGGAAACCTCACAGCTGCTGCTTACCGCGACCAGGTGCTCACCCATGAACTCGTTCCTTTCATGGCGGCTCATGGCCCAGGTCTACAGTTCCAGCATGATAATGCTCGGCCGCATACCGCGATGTTGACACGAAATTTCCTTCAAAACGCTGGAATCAACGTCATGGACTGGCCATCGAGGTCCCCTGACCTTAATCCAATAGAGCACGTTTGGGATGCACTTGGGAGAAGGCTTCGTGGTCTTAGGAACCAACCTCAGAATTTGCAGGAACTTGGCGCTGCCTTGCAAGAGCAATGGCGCGGAATCCCCAACCACGTGTTCACAAGCATCAGGCAGTCGATGAGGAGACGGTGTTTGGCAGTGGTGAATGCGCGGTGCGGCCATACACGATATTGAACTGAGAAATTTCGCATTTTTCTTCTATTGACTTGACATTCTGTATACCCATATTTTGGAACGGCGCTGTAGTCTAATGGAACTGATTATGGCACTGTCAGTGTATCGAGTACATCACACAGATCTCAGCAATGAAATAATAACAATTTAACCATCTTACCATCTCTTGTTCTTTTATAGTGCCCTGAAGAAAGAATGTGAAGTTTCTTTTTTGACTCAGTATAATAGATAAAAGTTTTAACATCCTGTGTCCATTATACGTGCCAAAACGCTATGTATGTGAGTTCGAATCCCGATTATGTAGACCATCTTGTGTTAGCCAACACTCTTGGCCTCCCTTGGCACACCTTCAGGTGCCTTATGCCAACGTCTTCCTCGTTTGAAACGCGTTACTTATGTGTTACGCTTTGTTTCCGACAAAAAAAGTAAATGCATTTTAAAGGCCTAAGGAAACATGAATAATCTAGTATACCGTCAATCGACAAAGTAACAAATAACTAAATAAATGTAAGTGTGTGGGTTTAGTTTTACGCCGCTTTTAGCAATATTGCAGCAACATCACGGCGGGGGACACCAGAAATGGTCTTCATACATTGTATCCATACGGGGAATCGAACCCGGGTTCTCGTTGTGATGAGCGAACGCTTAACCACTAGGCTACCCCACCGCTACCCCTAAAATTGTGACTGTAATTTGTTGATACGTCTTTTATCTTGTTTTCAACAAAGGCTGTGCTGGACTTTGAGACTTACTATACTGACATTGCAACCGCCAACAAAGGCCAGGCCGCGCCAGTGTGGCAGCTCGAGTACACAGCTAAGGTGAGCTAAAAATTTGTCCCCGTTCTCCAGACAATTGTGGGATTTCTAACAATGGATTTTAAAATGGTTGTGATGCAATAGCGCATATCGATGCTCATGGTGTTGATCAGTGGATTGTCTGGTCCAGACTCGATTATTTAAATATATTCTCTTTAACAAAATAGGGGAACTTGGACTTTCAATTTGGATATGAAGTAAAAGCGTTAAAAAACTTTTCAATGACAGACACCTTATGAACGCACCACCTTTTCTCTTTATCACACTTTAATCTCTTTAAACACAACGAATGGGATGCACGTGCACAACGCAGTAGCCCCATACACGTGCATGGGGTGTCATTCTTTATTTTTACGGTCTTCAAGAAGTACATAAACCACTGCAGGTGTAATTCTTTAATTCTTGAAGAACACAGTTGTGTGTTGTGTTTCCAGCAGATTTCACGTCATACACCAATCATCTTTCAAGAGGGATTAACGTACAAACAATTATGGTCATAAGGAAGTGCAAGTGGTGATGCACTCTCAAAACATTCATTATTATCATATCAACATTGATTGACTCCGATATATCTTTCAATTGTTATCAATCGTAAATTAAAATGAAGTTCCCCAACTCTTTGTTAAATTACATACATGTACATAGATGGCAGTTCCCCAACTTTTTTAATCAACAACTAAACAAACAAATATCGTCTCAGTAAATAGATGGAATATTTTTACCGGTTCAGACATGAAAACGATACGCGGTAATCGAAAACCGGTATTTTGACCAAACAAACAACACTATCTCGGATATTTCCGTTTTGAAGTTCTTTTCCCTGTTTCAAACTTTTTAGGTTAATCAGTCATTGTGATTTTGTTACACTTTGCTATAATCTGATTATAAATAGTCTTTGTTAACAAAATTCCAATATATTGCAGAAGGTCGCGTCAGCTAACCTAAGTTTAGAGCGACCTATGACCGTCAATCAAACGCGAGAAGGTCAGCAAACCTTTGGCGATTTCCAACCAATGACAGACAACGACTACTTGTTAGAGTTCGGCGGGACTTACAGAACGGTTTTTGGATTTTCTCTTCCCTGGTCGCTGACACTGATCTATCTACAAACAAAATCCGCATAAAACACGGATATTTGACCTGCAGTATATACGCTTAGGGGTTTCTAATGACATGGTTACTATTTGCTTATATTTTCGCAAGATGACATCCTTGAATATTGACACAAAGCTATTTTCAGCGACTGTTTACTCATTGCGTGTATCACTCGGAAGCGATCGTGCGGAAAATAGTATTTGGAATCGTTCGAGTTTTTTAGGTAATTGTTCAAACGGTATGTGCGAATGTTAACTTTTGCGGTATTGTAAGCTGTGTTCTGATTGGTCATTCCAAAATGTTAGCTGACGCGACCTTCTACTAGGTTTTGTTAGACTCAGTAGCAGTGTAACGAATAATAATGAGCCTAAGTTTACTTAGACTCACCAAAATCTACTACATCTAGTCCTCCATCTCCTTCAGAGCGAGTACAACATGACCGGACTGTACCCCCGAGACTGGAGCGACCTCATCTACAGGATGAAGGATGACGACACGGTGTTCCAGCAGTTTTACAAGTAAGGACTTCGTTTTCGTTTCGTCTGAAATTACAGCAGTGAACATTCATTCCAGTCATATGTATGTTCACATGAGCTGAAACACAGTGTTCGTGGTACAATGAGTGAGTTTAGTTTTACCCCGCTTTTAGCAGTATTCCTGCAATATCACGGCGGAGGACACTGGAAATGGGCTTTACACATTGTACCCATGTGAAGAATCGAACCCAGGTCGTCGGCGTGACGAGCGAACGCTTTGATCACTAGGCTACCCGACCGCCCTGTAAGCAGTGTTTGTCATTAACCCTGGAAAGCTGCAGGCCCTAAGGACACAAAACCATAAAAAGTTGTGGGTTCGGATCAGAATGTGTAGGCCCTATATTTTAATTTGGAAATAATACTTTCAGTTATTGGTGATGAAAACACTGTCGGCCATAGTGATAGCGAGCCCAGAAGATCAAACTTGATTCGAATCCTGACATTAGTAAAATAATTTAAGATATTCCACTTTTATGTAGCTTTAATAAATATATGACTACATTTAAGAAACAGGATGAACCGAAGATAGAAGTAATGCTTTGGTTTCAGGTTCATTGGCGGATCCAGAGGGGGGGGGGGGGGAGGGTTGAAAATGACTTGAGACCACACTGAAGATTTTTTTTGCGTTGGCGGAGCCAATAGGGGGTTCAATGTCTTGTCTTGCGTGTGAAACATGCCCTGGAGAATGGAAATTAATAATCTGTTTGTGTTTTAGACTGTTTTACAAACTACGAGACAACGGACCCTGTACTGACGACTGCAAAACCAAGATGCTTTGCGAGCTGAAAACGGGGAGGTCACATGATCCAGCGCTCTGCAGTGACCTTTGACACCGGTTGTCGATACTAATGCCAGCAATGGTCGACGAGATTTTCTATGTGGTGTTTGTTGTTATACAATATTCCCGAGACCTTTTCGTGTAAACTGAAGTTTCGTGTAAACTGAATTGAATAAACAATGAAAATAATGTTTGGAGCGTCCAACAGATTAATGGATTTCGGACTCTTCTGTTCCATAGTAAAATTAAAAGCGCATCACTGCATAATTTCAGTTCAGAGTGAGTGAGTGAGTATGGTACGTTTACACCGCTTTTAGCAATATTCGAGCAATATCACGGCGGGGGACACCAGAAATGGGCTTCACACATTGTGCCCATGTGAGGAATCGAACCTGGGTCGTCAGCGTGACGAGCGAACGCTTTAACCACTAGGCCACCCCACCGCCCCTTCAGTTCAGAGGAGAGCGGAAGGTCGCGGGTTCGATCCCCGACCGCATCAAACCAAAAGACGTTAAAATATGGTACTTGTTGGTCCCTGCCTGGCGCTCGGCATTAATGGGTACAACAAGGACTGGTCGCCTCGGAGTCAGTATACTGTGTCTTAGTGGGGTATTCATGCTTCACTGCGGGATGGTATCTCAGTGAGCTAGCGCTATAAAACCAGCTTAAGTCTGGGTTAGTACAAGCACGTGCATACACATACGCATGCACGTCGTCATATGAGCGAAATATTCTCAAGCACGACGTTAAACCCAATTTCACCTCACCTTCAGTTCAGAGGAGAGGATAGAGTGTCTAGTCGGGGAGTAGGTCAACGGTTCGGTTTCCCCACCGGGTCCAAATGATGTTGATAGATACCCTGGCGCTAAGGGAAATCCAGGACTGTCCGGATCTGAACCATGTCTACTCTAACTGTACTATAACACACGTGTTGTTGAGACTATTTGTTTGTATCCCATTGCCAATGCTTACTAATGGTGTTTTGGGCCTTTCTTCACTGAGTGAGTGGGTTTAGCTTTACGCCGAACTATTCCACCTATATGGAGGCGGTCTGTAAATAATCGTATCTGGACCAGACAATCCAGTGATCAACAGCATGAGCATCGATCTACGCAACTGGGATACGAATACATGTGTCAACCAAATCAGCGAGGCTGACATTCCGATCCCTCTTACGACAAGCATGGGTTGCTGAAGACCAAATCTAACCCGGATCTTCACATGTCCATTCTTCAGTATATTCAACACCCACTACAGATTACTCCGTAACGTATCCTATGTACTAATGTTTTACAGCAGTCTATGTTTTTCGAAAGGAGCGACTAAGTGGATCAGGTGGTCAGGCTCGGTCACTTAGTTGTCATAATATCAATCACGTGTTTGTTTGATCCAGATTAGATTAATAATATAATAATACATGTGAATTTCTAATGCGCTTTTCCATGTACAAGGCACATGCTCAAAGCGCTAACACACAATCTGATTATTATTACCCCGATAACACAAGGTGCCTGTGTGGCGCTGGAAGGTTAATAGTCACATGACTTATCCCATCGGGTACCCATTTTCTGCTGGGACAATTTTGAGCAAACTCACGTGCCCATGGTGATACCGCATGTATCGCATGTGCTTTATTAACAGTTTATGATTGTAGCAATGCATTTGTCTTATCCAAATACTTCTATTATATTGCTGTCTGCGGCATAAAACAACAAACATCATGTACAATGTCAGTGCAGAAAAATACGTGATCGACATGTGACCTGAGATTAAAAGTGTACGATACACTGTATGCTAGTATAGATATGACACACATGTATCTACGTACATATGTACCAAATAAGGTCTGATATTAACCCGTTCACATCTACACTGGCGTCACATTGGCGATAACATCAATCAGCACGACATACCAATGTGTGATGCATCTACCTACAAACCACAGACCACATGTATCTGATAATATAGACTTCAGGCATCGCCCACAATATGTCGGCCGAATAACAATTAGAATCATTTTTACCTTATGGTGATTCTAACTAGATCTACAATGTCATTAAGGGTGGTTTTGTGTTTAACGGTACTGTGTACTGTTGCCCAGGTAACGGACGCCACAAGAACGAAGACAAAGTTTGATGAACATTTTGAAACGAATACGAGAAATGCGGCAAAAGAGTATGTATTTTCTATGGCCGGTCATCATGCGCTGGGGCAACTTGGAACGAACATCGGTGAAAGTGACCGGTGTTTCGCGTGTAAGCTGCTTGTGAACACTATACGGAGTATGGTGGTGGACAAACGACCAGAAGCAGATATTGCGAGAGCGGTGATCCACATATGTAAACATTTCCACTTTGAAACTGATAGAGTGTGTACCTACATCGTACCTGAATATAAGGTGAGTTGAACGTTTAACCTCAGTCATACCTGTGGGTAAGTTTAGTTCAGAGAGTCATACCTGTGTGTACGTTTAGTTCAGATAGTCATACCTGTGTGTACGTTTAGTTCAGAGAGTCATACCTGTGTGTACGTTTAGTTCAGAGTCATACCTGTGTGTACGTTTAGTTCAGAGTCATACCTGTGTGTACGTTTAGTTCAGAGTCATACCTGTGTGTACGTTTAGTTCAGAGTCATACCTGTGTGTACGTTTAGTTCAGAGAGTCATACCTGTGTGTACGTTTAGTTCAGAGAGTCACACCTGTGTGTACGTTTAGTTCAGAGTCATACCTGTGTGTACGTTTAGTTCAGAGAGTCATACCTGTGTGTACGTTTAGTTCAGAGAGTCATACCCATGTATAAGATGAGTTCAACGCATCAGCTACTTCTAAGTATAAGGCGAGTTAAGATCGTCATATTATACCAAATGCCTCACAACTCACAACGGCAATGCTTTGGACAGTCTTTCTCTTCCTGCTTCGGACAGCCTATTTCTCTTCGTGCTTTGGACAGCCTGTTTCTCGTCATGCTTTGGACAGCCTATTTCTCTTCGTGCTTTGCACAGTCTATTACTCTCCATGCTTTGGACAATCTATTTCTTTTCATGCTTTGGACAGTCTATTTCTGTTCATGCTTTGGACAATCTATTTCTCTTCATGCTTTGGACAGCCTATTTCACTTCCCGCTTTGGACTGTCTATTTCTCTCCATGCTTTGGACAATCTATTTCTGTTCATGCTTTGGACAGTCTATTTCTCTTCATGCTTTGGACAAACTATTTCTCTCCATGCTTTGGACAGTCTATTTCTCTTCATGCCTTAGACAGTCTATTTCTTCCATGCTTTGGACAATCTATTTCACTTCCCGCTTTGGACAGTCTATTTCTCTTCATGCTTTGGACAATCTATTTCTCTCCATGCTTTAGACAGTCTATTTCTCATCATGCTTTGGACAATCTATTTCTCTCCATGCTTTAGACAGTCTATTTCTCTCCATGCTTTGGACCACATGGGCGTGTCACGCTTAGAAACAGCGTTAGAAAGACATATAGGTATATAGACCCAACCCTAGTACTACTGTATTGCAACATCTACAAATCATTTCCTCGACAGTAAGCAGGCATTTTCTCCAAAACCATCGGCAATCACACTCACTTGTCGGCCATAAATGGCCTTGACATTCAAGTGATCTTAGCAGATCCGCAGAAACTGAATTTGGCCATCCGATTGGTGGAAAATATAATATACTGTAAGATTTTGCCTGTCTGCTAATGGGCCCGAAATATGAACTTTGCAATGTTCCTTCTATTTTGGATGATGTACGGAACAGTAAATTGTTAAGAATAATTTTAGAGGTTGTAAAACTGCATTCGATATTGATTCATTTTTAGGAAATTATATTTATAAATGTTTAACCTCTAAAATTATTCTTACCAATTTACTGCTCAGGTCACTTAAATGTCAAGGCCATCTATGGCCGACAAGTGAATATGATTGCCGATGGTTTTTGAGAAAATGCCTGCTTACTGTCGAGGAAATGATTTGTAGATGTTGCAATAAGTTTTTAGATCCGTGGAATGCCGCTGCCGATCGAATCTAGCCCTTCATAGGTTCTGTCAACGTGGCTGGAATTAATAAACGAATTTAAAAGGTGAGTTTTCGCTGTCTTGGCTGATCCATGATTTTGGCTTGGAATTGCGGAGGTAGCTGTTATCGGTGAGTCGTGGCGTATAACTTTTGAAATAATGATCCGATTCTGACCATTTATAGCTCATTTCGTAGGGAAATCATCTGGCTTTCGATCCGTAGGGCTCGACGGGGCTTTAAAAATAGTTTACGTGGTGAAATCTGACTTTGATTTGAGGAGGGGGTGGTTCCGTCGTTACATCCCTTTCCTTTTAGATAGTACTAGGGTTGGGTCTATATACCTATATGTCTTTCTAACGCTGTTTCTAAGCGTGACACGCCCCTGTGCTTTGGACAGTCTATTTCTCTTCATGCTTTGGACAGTCTATTTCTCCTAATGCTTTGGACAGTCTATTTCTCTCCATGCTTTGGTCAGTCTATTTCTCGTCATGCTTTGGACAGTCTATTTCTCTTCATGCTTTGGACAATCTATTTCTCTTCATGCTTTCTCTTCAGTACCATGAAGATACGACTTAAAAACTTTGTCTTCACCAACTCTCTGATATATATATATAATCGCTGATGTATGTGATTGTCTGGCAGTTGCGTAGATCGACGCTCTTAATGCCCATCACTGGATTGTCTGTTCCAGATTATATTACTTACAAACCGCTGTGTTAAAGCTGGAATATTGTTGAACACGATGTAAAACAAACAAACAAACATGTCTTTTCAGGACATGGTGATGGCGGTGGTTCAGCAGACTGCCCTCAGCCCCAACGACATCTGCGGCATACTGGTGGGACCGGACTGCGCCACACCCTATTTCCCCACGGACATGTGGAACATCACCCTCCCCGACACACCCAAACCACCGGTCAAACCTCCCCGACCCCCGGCGGTGAGTTGAGGATTCCGTGCATTTGTCAATATCTAATGTTTAATTGAAATGTCTGTCTGTTTAATGCATCTATTGATCGGTGAAGATCTGTGTTAGAATTGGTCTTCAGCAACACAAGCTTGTCGACTAACGGGATCGAGTGGTCAGACTGGCTGACCTGGCTGACACATGTCATCGTATACCAATTGCGTAGATCGATGCTCATGCTGTTGATCACTGGATTGTCTGGTCCAGACTTGATTATTTACAGACCGCCGTCATATAGCTGGAATATTGCTGAGTGAGGCATACAACAACAAGCACACAAATAATGCATAGAACAATAGTTATCCATTATTCTTTTATGTTTTGCAATTCGCATCATGATATCGCAACTAACTTATGTGACCTCGTGGCCCACGGATTCATTGAAACCTAGATTCATTCACTGTTGATCTGTCTGCGTCGTACCTTTCATCCATCTGAGATCTCCTTTGTGGTGGCCCCACATGAGCACAATGTGTTAAGCCCATTTCTGGTGTCCCCCGCCGTGATATTGCTGGAATATTGCTGAAAGCGGCGTAAAACTAAACTCAGTCAGTCAGTCCTTTGTGGTGGCTATGTTTATTGCAAGAGATGACGAATACGAAAACCAAGCGGTCACAATGTGTGGTATTCTGCCTCAGCTGTGCAGATGACAGTTGATGGCCCCGTGTCCCCCCAAGGCCAGACCGCTCCCTCACATATCTCAATTCTCCTGCAGCCCGGGTCCCCCAAGGTCAGGTTCCTCCAGCTGACAGACATTCACATTGACCTGATGTACCAAGAGGGGGCTAACGCCATCTGCCACGAGCCTCTGTGTTGCCGTAGCAACGACGGTAAACCAGGTACGTCATCAGCGTCACGTGAACAATTTATCACGTACTCCATCATAATATTTCTTTGAGGTAAATTAACGTGTGATATAACAATTCAATCAATCTGTATTTCTGTGACTGGGTTAAGTTGTCATGGTTACAAAGGGAGCTGATCTACCTGTTTTCTCATTCCCGGATGCAGATGCAGGTGTCCCAGGTGCAGGCAAATGGGGGGACTATCGCACGTGTGACTCCCCTCTCATCATCGTGGACAACCTGTTTCAGCACCTTGCCACCAAGACAGACGAGGTGAGATATACTGGAGACATATAGTTGACCATACAGACAGACAGGATCTCAAACACACCAAAAAACAGACTATACAAAATACAAACAATACGTGTACATCTCCTCGAATCTGATACCAAAAACGAGTGGTGGGGTAGCCTAGTGGTTAAAGCGTTCGCTCGTCACACCGAAGACTCTGGTTCCATTCCCCACATGGGTACATTGTGTGAAGCCCATTTCTGGTGTCCCCGCCGTGATATATTGCTAAAGGCAACGTATGTTCTATTTGGGATTACACTTTCTTAGTAAAGTACAGATTCTCGTACTTTTGGGGTTGAGTCCCATCCGGGATTCGAACCCACACCCTCAGAGTCACGCAAAGTCAGACGCCTAGACACAATCCGTAGTCTAGACATACGTTACATTTGACCACTTTCTAAAATGGCATTGTGTATTTAATAGCTTTCGGTCGTGGCAGCCGTGCCAATTAACACTTATCAGAGGGGTACACAAAGTCCGTAGTCTAGACTACCAGTTGTCCGACTTCCATTTTTGTGGAAGCCGCGGTGGCTGAGCGGTCTAGGCGTCTGACATACTTTACATTTGACCACTTTCTAAAATGGCATTGTGTGTTTCATTGCTAAAGGCAGCATAGAAACTTTGACCATTAGGGCCCAATGAAAGGATAGCATCCACTTTGTATGACAACACCGATCACAACCTTTGTCAGATTTATAATGAGTGAGTGAGTATGGTTTAACGCCGCATTCAGCAATATTTAAGGAATAGTAATGCGGCGGACATAGTAAATGGGCTTCAGACATTATACCCATGTTGAGAACCGAACCTGGCTTCGGCTTGACGCTTAAACCATGTGGCTACCACACAACCCTTGATTATAATTCATGAAAGGAAGACATGTAGATCATGGTCTGGAAAACCTGTTACACTTAAATAAGAGGTGGCATTCATCAATTTCACCTGTCATTATTGGTATAGCCCAGTGGTTAAAGCGTTTGCTCGTCACGCCGAAGACCCGGGTTCCATTCCCCACATGGGTACAATGTGTGAAGCCCATTTCTGGTGTCCCCTGCCGTGATATTGCTGGAATATTGCTAAAAGCGGCGTAAAACCATACTCACTCATTATTGATATACATACCACATATTAACGTTACAGTTATGAAAGTCTGAAGTTACAAAAGATCCTCTCAACGATAAGACAGACAAATTATACGTTCTGGTTAACGATGTCAGTTTATTTGACTTTAATTGCTTAGTTATCGTGAAGATGCCATTTGATTAACAAATATATGATTTTTCACTTGTTGTTGAATCATTTGTATGTACCATTGGCATGGCAACCTTAAATAGCTTCAGCTAAATCTCGCTCAGTACGTAGTCATACCCATTCGTTATGGTTATAACTATTGTCCATGTTAATTTTACGGGGCGGTGGGCTAGCCTAGTGGTTAAATCGTTGGCTCGTCACGCCGAAAACCCGGGTTCGAATCCCCACATGGGTACAATGTGTGAAGCCCATTTCTGGTGTCCCCCGCCGTGATGTTGCTGGAATATTGCTAAAAGAGGCGTAAAACCAAAACTCAGTCAGTCAGTCAGTCAGTCAGTCAGTCAGTTAATTTTACAGATGTTCCTGACAGTAAGCACCCTGTAACAGCGGTTTCCGGATAAACAGGTGTTTTCTATAATGAAATATGAGCATTCTTGATTACAACTTGAACGACTATTGTTGGTGATCTTCAGTTTGACTTCATTATATTCACGGGAGACATCGCCGCGCATGACGTGTGGAATCAAACCCGGACCGAACAGCTTGCAGCCCTGGACCGTCTGGTGTCCTACTTCGACAAGTACCTGCCGGGAAAACAGGTGTACTTCTGTGCCGGTAACCATGACACAGCCCCGTGTAACAGGTAATTCTCGGCTTTTGCCATAGAAGGAATTGACATGAGCCTTGAGCATGCACTAGTTGCTTGGAAATGTGTGCTATATAAATATCCTATAATAATTTTACGAGGGCTTTAAGTACAGTAGACTTTGCACTCGGCGGAGTGCCTCTTGAACAGAATCACAAAAAGCTGTGGTTAGTAGTTACTACTAAACGAGTGGGTGAGTATTGTTTTACGCCGCTTTTAGCCATATTCCAGCAATATCACAGCAGGGGACACAGGAATGGGCTTCATACATTGTACCCATGTTTGGAATCGAACCTGGGTCTTCGAGCGAACGCTTTAAACACTGGGCTACCACCCCGCCCTTACTACTAAACGAAGTTAGCTGTATGAATGATGACTTATGTAGTGAAACCAAGCCATTCCGGCAATGAGGATCTTTACCAAAAGTAATGACCAATATCTACAAATACCCGTTTGCTGGCGCTAAACATCAATAGTGAATTTTGATTTTGTGAAGTGAAAAAATGATTTAGTAAATATAGACGGCATGCAAACGACCAACAGGCGGGAACTGGAATAAACAAAACGTGCGAATGTAGTATTGAAAGCCCGACCTGATTCAAAGAGCACATTCTGCTAATATAACCGTATCTGGTCACCTGACCTCTAACCCGGATTGTAGGTGATCATATATGATGTTTGTGGTATCGGCAAAACGAAATATGCTTTTACAATGATCTCCATACTTGATCCCTTACACCTACGTTTCAGCATATGTATACATACAAATGATTTCATATTTATGTTTTCAGTGAATTCAAGATATTAAAAACTTCATGCCATGAACAAGCGCCGTTTCTTAACTGAAAACCGTGTGAACTCCGGAATATAATTTGTGGGTCTGAAAATGGAATCATTTGATCAATACCTGGGAGACTGCATTTTGTTTATTCGTATATGTGTAATCTATGTGTCACTTTATAGTTATTAAACCTTATCACGCCATGTATAACATGATATGTCAGATGTGGCACAATATACAATATGATATGCTGGATGTTACTTAATATACACCATGACATGTCAGACGTGACACCATAAATAATCTGATATGTCGTATATGATGCTATATACAACATCAGATGTAATGCCATATACTTTATATGTTGGATATGATGCTATATACAACATCAGATGTAATGCCATATACTTTATATGTTGGATATGACGCTATATACAACATCAGATGTAATGCCATATACTTTATATGTTGGATATGACGCTATATACAACATCAGATGTAATGCCATATACTTTATATGTTGGATATGACGCTATATACAACATCAGATGTAATGCCATATACTTTATATGTTGGATATGACGCTATATACAACATCAGATGTAATGCCATATACTTTATATGTTGGATATGATGCTATATACAACATCAGATGTAATGCCATATACTTTATATGTTATGTGATGCTATATATGACGCTATATACAACATCGGATGTATGACCATATACTTTATGATATGCTGGATATGATGCTATATACAACATCGGATGTAATAATATATACTTTGATATGATATGACGTCGTATATGATGCTGGATGTATACAACATCATGATGTAATGTGGCCCAATATACAATATGATATGTTGGATATGACGCTATATACAACATGGTATGCTGGATGTTGCGCTATATACAGCATGATATGTGGGATGTGGAACTACGTACAACACAGTATACACCTTGGTATTTCGGAGGTTTAACTGTCTTACATCCTGTTGTGTGGGATATCTGATTATAAACATGTATTTGTATGTGTCATTATGTAACGACCTTTATGGTAGAAGTTTTTTGTTCTATGAGTAATAAAAAACCCACAGCAACAACAACAACAACAAAACAAACAATTTTTTAAAATATATTTCTGATGAGATCTACACGGATTTTTTCCAAAACTCATTTCTTAAGTTAAACACTCATGTCAATAAGATATCAATGTTAATATTTCATATTCACTATTATTATTTTAACAGTTTTCCTCCGGATTACATCAAGGGTAACCTGTCCCAGGAATGGATGTATACTGCTATGGCAACACATTGGACTCGGTGGCTTCCTGATGACACCAAGGAAACTATCATGAGGTGGGTTAACAAAGATGCACCGTCATGAGGCTTTATGACTGGCTTGCTGTTTTAACGTCGACTTAATGCGAGAGATATGTGCGCATTTCTTGCACATAGTACTCGCCGACAATCTGGGTTAGAATGGGTCTCCATTCAGCAACCCATGGAGACAGGCAGCTAACGGGATCAGGTTCGTTGACTTGGTTCATGCTGTGACCCTACCCCAACTGCATAGATCGAAGCACATAATCTCAATCACTGGATTGTCTGGTCCAGAATTGGATATTTACAGACCATCGTTATTACGCTGGAATATTGCTGGAGTGCTGCATTAAACATTTTTATAATGACAGAGGTTAGATAATAATTAATAGAAGAAAAAACTTTAGCACCCTGAATAGGAATTTGCTGTACATCAGCACATAGCGCACATATGAATATAGGGTAAATAAGGTAAATATAAGAGCGTTACTCACAGGTAAATGTACTGTAAAATACATTATTGAACACAGGTTAAAAATATGCGGGTAAAACAGTTATGATTAATACAACAACAACAGTGTACATATACAAGTACGGATAAGATTTGTATGTAAAGATATATCATTTATTGTTTAAAAAGCCGATGCTGGACGGGATGAACGATTTCAGGGCTCTGTTTGATTTAAATTTTGGAATTTGGAAACGTCTGCCAGAAGGTAAAAGTTTATATTCAGTGTTTAAAATGTGTGAGGAGTCATGTAAAAGTTTATATTCAGTGCTTAAAATGTGTGAGGAGTCATGTAAAAGTTTATATTCAGTGTTTAAATTTGTGAGGCGTCATGTAAAAGTTTATATTCAGTGTTTAAAATGTGCGAGAAGTCATGTAAAAGATATATTCAGTGTTTAAAATGTGTGAGGAGTCATGTAAAAGTTTATATTCAGTGTTTAAAATGTGTGAGGAGTCAGGCAAAAGTTTATATTCAGTGTTTAAAATGTGTGAGGGGTCATGTAAAAGTTTATATTCAGTGTTTAAAATGTGTGAGGAGTCATGTAAAAGTTTACTTGCCAGAGTTAACACTCTTTCCTCATACACGTAAGCCAAAGGGTCGAAATGCACATTTGCGACTGCTTTCTTAAAGTTTGTTTCGGTTTTGAATTGATAGGGATCCATACCAGCGCTGGATTGAGAAGGTTAAGACGCTTTGAATAAAACTACGATAAAACAGTGAAAGAATAGTTTTGTCAACATTAAAAGAGCGAAGTTTCCGCAAGAAATATAAACGTTGTTGACCATTTTGCATAAAGCACCTGTATTATTATTCCAGTTCAATTTGCCATCAATTATTGTTCCAAGATATGTGTAGTTCTTGACAATTTCAACATCTGAACCATGGACAGTGACTGGTAAATGCACAGGCTTACGTGTTCTGAAATCAATAATTATCTCTTTAGTTTTAGACACATTGAGCACTAAGTGAGATTGTCTTTAGACCAGCTTGTGAGAAACTGGAATGAATGCAAGAACTGAATAAAGTTGGTTGGTTGGTTTGTTGTTTAACGCCGAATTCAGCAATATTCCAACTATAAGGCAGCGGCTGTAAATAATCGAGTCTGGACCGACAATCAAGTGAGAAACAGCATGAGCATCGATCTTCGCCGAACTGATTAAAGGCTTAAGGTGAACTCAATAAAAAGAGGTACGAAAACCAATACTTTATTTAGAAAGTATAATCCCAAATATAACATACGTTAAATTTGAGTATTTTGTTACAGAGGGGGCTTCTACACTTTCTCCCCATTTCCCGGGTTCCGCATCATCTCCGTCAACAACATCTTCTGCTACATCAACAACTGGTGGCTCTTCATCAACACTACCGATCCGAACGGCGAGTTGCAGTGGCTGGCGGAGACGTTACAGAAGGCGGAGGACGTTGGGGAGAAGGTCAGAGAGGAGTGTGTGTGCGCGTGCGTGCGTGTGTGAGGGGTGGTGGAGGGAGAGTCGTAGGGGAGAAAACAGTGTCTGGATGTGTCAAACAGCTAACTGTTCATCACGTGTTATACTACTACTACTACTACTACTACTACTACTACTACTACTACTACTACTACTACTACTACTACTACATAGCGCTGAACCCCACGCCACACGGGCATGATCTAATGAACAATATTACCCCGGAAAACCCAACCGATATGGCGCTGGAAAGTTTGTAATCATATAACTTATCCCACGGGTACCCATTTTCTGCAGGGTGTACAGAGGCAATTTTGTACAAACTCAGTTGCCTAAGGTGAAACCACATGTGTCGTTGTGGGGAAAGATAGAAGTCCTAGAAACTCTAATGGCTAACCCTAATTGGACAATGTTGTCCCAAACCTTGCAGGTGTTCATCCTCGGCCATATGCCCACCAACTGCTTGAAGGCCTGGAGCTGGAACTACTACAACATCGTCAGCAGGTGAGTGAGTGAGTTTAGTTTTACGCCGCGTTAATCAATATTACAGCAATATCGCGGCTGGGGACACAGACTGGGGGCGTTACACATTGTACCCATGTGGGGAATCGAACCCGGGTCTTCAGCTTGATGAACGAACGCTTTAACCACTAGGCTACCCTAGCGCACCCAGCAGGTGAGAAATGACAACTATCTCTGTCAATGGCATCGTTATACTATTAAGTCAGTACCGGAATTTCCCGTATTTAAGCCCTGGGCTTAATAACGGAAAATGACCCATCTCATTACAAAATATAAACCCAATAATTAAGCCAAGGATTTAAATTCGAGAAATGTTTGTGTGTATGATTCTAACACAGTAAAATAGAATGAACTTTAATAATGATATTATCATATTTTATTGCGACTGCGTTTGAGTCATATGGATTGAGATTGTCTATTTGAGTATAGAGTACCTGACCTCTCATGGGACTCCGAAACGTTCAACGTGGGTTGAGTTAAACGGAATATTATCCGAGAGTCAAGCTGGTTTCCGCCCTCAATATTCAACTACTCACCATATTTTTACTCTTCAGGCTTTGTGTTCGAAATATTTGTGCAAACCCAAAGGGCGTTTCTACTGTGGTTTCGTTGACTTTAAAAAGGCATTTGACTTTGTGGACGGAGGTAAACTGCTATATATTTTGATTCAACGCGGCTGTCACGGAAAGATAAAGATGTTGCTTAAAAGTATGTACACATCGGTGAAAGCCAGTGTAAGAGTGAATACTGATTCAAGAACTGAAACTTTTGATACTTCCCGTGGAGTGAGACAAGGGTGTATTCTCAGCCCCCTCCTCTTCCTTCTCTTTATTAATGAATTTGCAACAGAGCTCTACCAATCAGGCAACAATGGAATTTTTGTTACGCAAGATATACAAGATCTATTACTGCTAATGTTTGCTGATGACATCGTCCTTTTTGCTACCAGTGTAATAGGTCTACAGCGCCAGCTTAATATCCTGGAATCATTCTGTATCAAATGGGGATTACAGCTGAATCTTAACAAAACACATACCATAGTGTTTCGCAACGGAGGAATTCTGAGACATTCCGAAAAATGGACTTTTTGTAAAAATCCTCTTAAGGTGGTTACATACTATAAATATCTCGGCATAACATTTTCATCTAGGCTCGTGTGGACAAAAACCTGTGAAACACTTGCTCAACAAGCAAGTAAAGCCTGCCTCTCTGTTTTCAGACTTTTTAACAAGTATCAAGAACTAACCTATTCAAGTGCAAGAACTATATTTGATCGAAAAGTGGCACCTATACTACTATACGGCTCGGAAATATGGGGACATAAATATTCTGATGTAATCGAGAGGGTCCATACTATGTATTTCAAACGATTTCTGAAAATTGGAAAATGTGGTTCAAACAAAGCACTTGGGGAGCTTGGACGTCACCCCATCTACGTATTAACACAGATTCGAGTAATCAAGTTTTGGTTCAAGATACTCAGTATGAATGAACAGTGTTATCCACTGCAGTGCTACAGAATGCTAAAAACATTTGATGATATGGCAGAACAAACTGGGCATCCAATGTTAGAAACTTATTATTCAGAAACGGGTTTTTTCATGTCTGGTTAAACCAGGGCGTTGCTAACGTTCAGTTATTCATGTATACTTTCAAACAACGATTGAAGGATATCGCCTACCAAACTTGGCACAACGAAATCAACAGCTCCACTTTTTTCAGTCATTATTCATAGTTTAAACATGAACTTTGCCTGGAGTCCTACATAACAGAACTAAAATATAAACATCTGATCCGTGCACTTATCAAGTTTCGTATTTCGAATAACAACTTTAAAGTGAACATGTACAGACTTAATGAGGATGCCCCACGTACGAACTATTTGTGTTCATTCTGTGATGCCGTAGAAACAGAAACTGAGAATCACGTATTCTTCCGATGTGTCAAATATCAGCGGTACAGAGACAGTTACTTCAAACAATTACAAAATGTCTACAAAGGCCCACTCACTCTGCAGTCAATGTTGCAATCCAAAAACCCCCAAGTTATATACTGCACAGCACTATTTTTACATTATGTTTTTAAAGTAAGATCCCAATACTAATTATGACCACTGTTTCACGAAACTGCCAATGTTTGTGACTGTATTATAGGCCATGAGGCCGATATTACGAATAAACTTCTGTCTGTCTGTCTGTCTGTCTGAAACGTTCTATACACGTGAACACATCTAACTGCACTACAAACGTTATATATATGCTGACGTTCGCCATGTGCTTTTGCAAAGGGACGTCACTCTAAACAATAAAATTTGAAATCTTAATTTAGGCCCATGGGCTTAATAAAGGGAAAATATCCCGTTTTTAAGCCCATGTGCGTAATTTCGAGTGAAATCCCGGTACTTTATGATCTCAGTAATTCATGTATATGTGAAGGGTTTGTTGATGTCGCTAATTTGATTTTTAGAAATCTCTAAATGATTTCAGGATATCACTAACTTGGTTTTAAGACAATCTATCTGTCTATATATATATCCGTGATTGGAATAGCAACACTCTGTATATATTACTTGACAGTACACAGATTAGGTGTTTTTATCATCAAAACTATGTTCTGTTCAGAGATGTAAATTTTTCATTGAAAATTAATGAAGAGTGATTTTGGATGATAAATAGAATCTCACCCTCGTGTCTTCTGATATCAAATATATCAACACTCGTTGATAAAGTAAAAATATCCTCGGCAAGCCTCGGATATTTGTAACTTTATCAACTCGTGTTGATATAATTGATATCAGAAGACACTTGGGTGAGATTCTCTATGTATCACACCTTCAGACTTGGTGCTTTACATAGAGACATCCTGTTTGTTGTTATACTATGTATATTCCAAAGAGGGTGCAACAACAAAATAATATACTTAACATGTATACTGTAATAGAGACATCAGGTCTTCTCTATCCATCCATTTGTTACATTTACACCATTCTGCTGTTCTTATCTCACCCACTCTCTCATACAATAAACTGTTGTTCCAGTTCCCCTCCAACTGCCATATATATTCCGTTCCATGTACAGAGCAGTCAGTGTTGCTTGACAAGGAATTCAGTCGAAACGTCACTTTTACAGCATGAAAATAAGTTCTTTTCGGCCGCATATGTGTCCATTTCTAAGAAATTACAAACATTATAACTAACACGAAATAGGTCTGTGAATACGATCCGGGTTAGAATTGGTCCTTAGCAACCGGTGTTCGACGTAAGAGGCGACTAAAGGGATCGGGTGTTCGGGCTCGCTGACTTGGTTGACACAAGTCACCTTATCCCAGTTACGTAGATGGTTATGATGCTGGTGACTGGACTTTCTGGTCCCTACTCGATTATTTACACTTCGTCGCCATCTAGCTGGATATTTCTGAGTGCGGCGTTGATAAAAAGGCCTAAAAGCAAACACAACACAACACAACACACACACACACAACACAACACACACACGACACAACACACACACACACCACACCACACACACACACACACAACACACACCACACAACACACACACACACCACAACACACACACACAACACACACCACACACCACACACACACACACCACACACACACACGCACACACACACACACACACACACACACACACACACAACTGTTAATAAGAGAATCGAGAGCAGAAATTCCAGTGACTGATACCATGGTCATCGATTCTTCACGTAATGGGTAAACAATGAAAAGCATGAACCAGATAATCGAGTCAGGTGACGAGGACTTTTAATATTATAATATAATATTTTTATATTTATAATCAAAGGTACGAAAGCACCATCGTAGGCCAGTTTAACGGCCACACCCACAGCGACGAATTCCGCGTGTACTACGACGTCGCCAACCTCACCCGTCCTGTCAACGTGGCCTACGTGGGTGGGTCTGTCACGACCATGTCGAACAACAACCCCAACTATAGGATCTACACCATGGACGGCTTCTACACCAACTCCTCCTTCGTAAGTGGTTATAACTGTTGCTTGCAAACATCTTAAATTCCGACCGTATTGTAAAATATTACTTTTAATGCAACATGCTATCAATATTGTTTCTCTTCGACAACCGACTTTGGTTTTGGCGACAAAATATCCCCTAACCAAATAATAAAATAGGATACAAAATTCTCCATATCAGTGACTGGATATGAAAGATCATACTTTAGTCTTGATCATGTTGTTCCTTCAAGGTCGCAGCAATTAAGGCCTCAGCAAAAGTTCAAGAAAGTTGGTTGACATAGCTGTAAAACACATTTCCACATATATCCGCATCAGTGACAGGAATGATGTCCGATGTGCAATTCCCTAATGTGGCGTGTGTCATATGTTCCCGTGCACTATTAACAAGCCTTTGCATATATTTTAGACGAGTGCCATCCTATGTCAGCAGTATTTCAGAGCAATTCATAACGTGTTTACGTGCAATGGACTGCTATTAGTTGCGATTCTTCGGTATAGTGGAAAGAGATTTTGTATTTCTATTTCTATTTTGTAGGCCGTGCTGGATTACGAAGATTATAACTTCGATATCGTTGCTAATAACGCCAGCACAGATCCTTCTTGGAAGTTTGAATACAGCCCATTGGTAAGTGACGTCATCTTGCCACATTGTAGTGAGTGAGTGAGTTTAGTTTTACGACGCACTCAGCAATATTCCAGCTATATGGTGGCGGTCTGTAAATAATCGAAACTGGACGAGACAATCCAGTGATCAACAGCATAAGCATCGATACTACGACATTTGGGATACGATGACATGTGTTAACCAAGTCAGCGAGTCTGACCACCCGATTCCGTCAGTCTCCTCTTACGACGCTGTTGGTAAATAATAGCAGGGGCATTACTGTCCTGAACAACGTCACGGATTTGATTACCTTCAGTCATTTGTCATTTGTATTAAATAAGTCTGTAAAATTATTATTGCTTGTGTATTAACTGACAAATTTTGTTGCGTTTTTGCGTTTTTAATTTATAAACATAACGATCAGTTTTCCTTCCAGTAGTATCGATTACTGAAATCTGAAGTATAGTAACTATTATTTGTTTGAGGGTGGTACATTATCTTTCCTGCATTTCGTTTGTTCTATTCTCTTAGACTGCCTACGGCATGAACGGCAGCACCCCCGCCGACTGGAGCGACCTCGTTTACAGGATGAGAGACGACGACGGACTCTTCAACAAATTTCTTCGGTAAGCATGTCACTCGAACAGCTCTGTAGATTATCACACAAGCGTACATAGTGGAATACTGGCTAGTATTCAGTTGTCCCTGTCAATTACACCTTACTTGCCATTATCCAAATCGGTTGTTTATAAATCACAATAACCGTGAGAGACTACTACAGCAAAAATACGTGCAAACATGCGAGTTGATATGACCGAGCCACCCAGCATAGTGGCAGGGTGGCACCAACGTTAGGGTGAATCAAGAATCTAAATCTGACTGTTGGTTTGTTTGGCTTGTTGTTAAACGCCGCACTCAGCAATATTCCAGCTATATGGCGACGGTCTGTAAATAATCCAGTCTGGACCAGACAATCCAGTGATCAACAGCATGAGCATCGATCTACGCCTTTGGGATGCGTAGACATGTGTCCTTTTTCTCTCTCTCTCTTTTTTGTCATTCCAATTTCTCTCTCTCTCTTTCTTTCTCACTCCTATTTCTCTCTCTCTTTCTTTCTCACTCCCTATCTCTTCTCTCTCTTTCTTTCTCACTCCTATTTCTCTCTCTCTTTCTTTCTTTCTCACTCCTATTTCTCTCTCTCTTTCTTTCTCACTCCTATTTCTTTCTCTCTTTTTCTCACTCCTGTTTCTCTCTCTTTCTTTCTCACTCCCTATCTCTTCTCTCTCTCTTTCTTTCTCACTCCCTATCTCTTCTCTCTCTCTTTCTTTCTCACTCCCAATTCTCTCTCTCTTTCTTTCTCACTCCCTATCTCTTCTCTCTCTTTCTCATTCCCAATTTTTTCTTCTCTCTCTCTCTTCTCACTCCTATTTCTCTCTCTCTTTCTTTCTCACTCCTATTTCTTTCTCTCTTTTTCTCACTCCTGTTTCTCTCTCTTTCTTTCTCACTCCTATTTCTCTCTCTCTTTCTTTCTCACTCTATTTCTCTCTTTCTTTCTCCTCCCTATCTCTTCTCTGTCTCTTTCTTTCTCACTCCCTATCTCTTCTCTCTTTCTTTCTCACTCCCTATCTCTTCTCTCTCTTTCTTTCTCACTCCTATTTCTCTCTCTCACTCTTTTCTCACTCCTATTTTTCTGTCTCTCTCTTTTCTTTCTCACTCCCTCTCTCTTTCTCATCTCCCCACCACTCACCCTCTCTCATCATAGTTAAGTTGGCATACCCAGCAACATCCACAACTCTACCGGACCCATCCCACTAAGGGGTATTTACAATCTGGTTGCAGTCACAGATCCAAGGGGGCTGACCTCACTCCTTGCACCCACGACTGTAAGTTCGAAGTGCTCTGTCTGCTGAAGTCTGGAAGATCGGAGGACCCACGGCTGTGTGAAGATCTGTGAGGGGAACACCCTTGTAGCCAGATTCAACTTTGCGTGCAAAACTTCTACAATCAAATAATGTAAACTGTCAGAGAAGCGTCCTGTCATCAGAAATTTAGCAGCGTAAATAACAGATTTAGATCACATGTACAAATACCTGTTCAACGGGATCCTGCACACTATGAGAGAAGCATCTTATCGTTATAACCTCATCAACAGTAATGGCGCCTGATTTCAATCATGTGTGCAAATACCTGTTCAACAGGATCGTGTAAACTATGAGAGCAGCATCTTATCGTAAGAACCTCATCAGCCGTAATGATGACATATTTTGAATCATGTATGCAAATACCACTTGAATCTAATCGTGTACACTACGAGAGCAGCATCTTATCGTAAGAACCTCATCGGTAGTAATGATGACATATGATGAATCATGTGTGCAAATACCACTTGAATCTAATCGTGTATACTATGAGAGCAGCATCTTATCATTCGAACCTCACCAACAGTAATGATTTACTGTATTCTCCATAAACCACACAATTTGATGTTGCTTCCGCTACATTTAAAAATCTTTTGCATGCTAAAGGTGACATTGTTGACGTTGAAATCCCCAAATTTCAGACCCATAAAGCATAATCGGTTGGATTTGTGAATCAAACAATTTGAAATATATTTTCGGGGTTAAAATTCCAAATTTCTGTGAAACTGACATAACATGAATAAGAGCCTTCTTAGCACGTGATTTCAGATCTATAACACTCTTTTTAAAGTTCATAGTATGGGAAAACACTAGTCCGAGCTAGGTGTAGTGACTAACAACAGATAATTGTTTGTCATTCAAAAATATTTTTCTTTAGAGGCGACAGATCCACCTCTTCCAAAGATTACTGTTTTTTTTTCTGAAATTAACAGATATTGGCAATATCAGTCTCGACCCATCACCACAGGTTGATACTAGTATAGACATATTTTGTTTTTAGTAATTGTTAAGTAACAATAAAGGCAAACTATGTTTTCGATGACAAGTAATTTATTTTTATGTAACCACGTTTTGGTTTCGATCACTTTACCCTTAGAGTCAAGCAAGAATTGTGTAGGGCAGCATAGTACAGTTCAGTTCGGTTTATGTCTCCCAAAACCACCAATTGTGATAAAAGAATGTGTGTACATATATTCACTTCCCACTTTGTCACTGGATGTCCAGCTTTTGCACAAACAAAGTATCTTAAGGAACAAGATGACATGACTTGATCTTGGTACTACCGTCATCGCCTTGCTTGTGGTTTTGACACTAGAGGTCCATCTATGTACGACCCAGAATATATAACGTACCCTACAACAGCCCTTTGAGAATAGGCCCGTTAGCAGCTTCAGACACATTCAAACTAACCAAACCTACCCTGTCCTTTTTGGTTTAAATAGAGCTGTGACGATACATCGTAGTATCGATAATCGTGACACTTTATCTGACGATAAATATATCGATACTTTTGTTTGTACCGTGATATGTATCGTTGACCTTAAAATTGTTAATGTTCACTAGAAATTGACGGTTGTGTAAAAAATTACACTGTTACTTGCTATCAAAATATACTTTTTTTAAAAGAAAATATCTAAGATAGCATATCCTGATATGCATCGAATCGAATCGTACCGTTCCAAGATATCGCGATACGTATCGTATCGTGACATTTCCGTATCGTCACACCTCTAGGTTTAAAGTAATGATATTTTTGGTATCATTTAATTCTCTGTCACTTTTGATACAAATGTGATTGACCCGTTACAGAAAATTAAATATGTTGACTTCGCTTACGAAATGTCACACTTACATCCCAAGTACCACGTTGTCCGACACACCGATATTCTTGTTGCCTTAATTTTGGTGCCTCCCAATCTCTTGACTTCCACTGGGAGAGGACCCGGGTTTGCTGCCAGGAACTCTGACACACTGAGTAATGCCGAAAGCTGCAAGTGTTGGGGAGTCATCACATCCTCCGAATAGTTCTTGGTGAGTTGGACTAGGCGGTACTTTCAGGGACAAGTCCCATTCGCTGTCAGGGGTGGGTGTAGAGGAGACACTGGAGGAAATTCACAGAGGAATTATTTGGTCACAACAAGCAAACGTTATTTTTAAACACGCCAACGTCCGACCGCACTAGTCTGACAGCGGCCTTTTACAGGAACCACAACATCCAACTACTGCCATAGCCCTCAACGTCTTCAGGTCTAAACTCTGTCGATCCTATACGGGATGCTCGTGATCAAAGTCTGCAATCGCTCCATCAACAGTATCACCAGTCACAGAAACACCAACAGTTGGCACAAGAACTACAGGAAGAGTGGGGTATTATTCCCTTGGCAACAATTCGTAATCTGGTTGATTCCATGGTGCCACGATGCCAAGCAGTTCTGGACTCTCATATGTGATATTGAGAACAGATGACCTCCACCTTGACTTTCGGATGTTTCATGTGTGTAGTGATGAACCGCTGTCAGTGGCAATCACCTTTGCCAAATTTTAACACTTTATTATGTATTATGACAATCGATTGCTTCATGCGTGAAATTAAAATATCGGTCATTGACAATCACTTGTGCCAAATGTGAGCGTTTTAAATATTCTGTTGATCATTAATAAAATGCATAAAGTATACGTCTGAAAACAACATTTGCTTTTCTTTTCACCATGTCCCTGTCCAACCGGATGTTCAAAGCGTTACATTATTGCATCTGATTGCACTCGAATTTCGTTCTCAACTCCCTGGGAGAATAGACCAAAGCCGTTTGTGATTCGCCTTGATATTAACAATCATATGTTCATTTTATCCTTCCAGATACACATTTCTGCTATAGAATAGAATAGAATAATAGAATAATACTGTAATGCCTTTTCAGGAATTTGTGTTACATCAGACACATCAGAGACTACTACTACTGACACATCAGAGAGATACAAAACATATTTACATAAATTCATTGATTTAGGTATCTTCACATTTGTTTAAGAGAGATATGGTACTTGGAATAAAGGATGTACGGGCTCTCTTAGTTTTCACAATTGGAACTTTGTAGCGGCGGCCTGAAGGGAGGAGGTTGTATTCCGAATTTAAGTAGTGAGTACGGTCAGATATATTTTGACAGCTTGATTCACGATTTGCCGCTCATATATTGATGATAAACATTCAAATCTGACTCCAGCGATTTTACTTGCAGTGTTAACAATTTTGTCTATTTTAGATTTGAGATGATCTGGGAGTGACCCTGTGCCACAGAAAACATTAAAAGATCTCGCATGAAGGGTAACATATAGCCTTGCTCCAAGGTTGTACTGGGCCCCGTTCCTCTAAGCGATCGTAGGCCCTGAAGGCCAGTGGATGTATAGTAAACGTATCCTTGAAAGAGACAAGTCCAGATAAGCGGACAGTCTAAGGAAGCCAGTCTGTTAGAGGGATATTTATATTTTTTAGAAATTATCATTTAAACTATTAATTATTACCACAGAGACTTTGCAAGTCTACGTAACATACACTTGTCTCGCCAACATGAACACTTTATGGAGGTGTTACTGCATTTAGTTTGGTGGGTTGTGTTTTACACAGCTTTTAGCAATAGTCACAAATCACAAAGGAGGACAGCATACATTGGATACACACATTACGCCCATGTGGGAATCAAACCCAGACCGTCGACGTGACGACGCTCTTTTCAATCATGCTAGACCACCGCACGAGCACTTATTGTACATTCAGATCTCACAAACTGTCACAGAATCCTTCATTATAATAACCATCGATGGTTTAACCCGTAATCGCTCACGCCCGTGTTGACTGAAGCAGTTGATGGAGTGAATGAGTGACTTTACTTTTACGCCGCTTTAGCTTTATTTTTAGCAATATTCCAGCAATATCCAGCGGGGGACATCAGGAATGGGATTCACACATTGTACCCATGTGGGGAATCGAACCCGGGTCTTCGGCGTGACGAGCGAACGCTTTAACCACTAGGCTACCCCACCGCCCAGCTTGCCCTCGGTGACCGTAGATCAGTCTAACGTAGACGACTACGTACTATATGAGAAAAACGTTAACATCACTGGCGTTCTGCAGGTCATTTTTGAGTCTGGCGACAGTCAGGAGAAACCAATCCTACCATTGTGTAATGGAACGCCGTCGACCACCTGCATGTTGCCTACAGGTGACCCACACAGGTGACCCACACATCTGACTCCATGCATGGCTGATTACCAAATGCATGCCTTTTGTATCTGAATAATTCGTTAAGCATATTCGGGTAGAAGTGGATTCAGTTGTAGCAATCCTCAGAGCTCATGCCGCTGTGCTCTGTGATGATGATGTGCAGCGATGTATCCAAACACGTTTTCAAGCACCTTTTGCACATATCTGCATTCCTCTCTCAGTTCATCAATAAACTGTGATCCAATAACGTCTACCGAATCACTGTGTACCGAGATATTTCAATCTATATTTGTTTTTAATGTTATCAAAACTCAGCAAACTGCTGCTGCTGCTGCTGATGCAACTATGGCTGGCGTATCCCAAAGGCCCGAAACAGTTAATGGAACACACCTGGATATTATGAACACTGATAAACCTCTCTAAACTGTCACACCTGTGTCCAGCATCACATCTGATCCATGTACTTTGTACACCGAACAGCGATACAACTATCTATATGGCACAATGTCATGTCACTGTAATATCCAACTGCCTGCCATGGGTATGATCTGTTAACGCGCCGTCGTTGTCGCCGTCCTTCGAGAACTGACACAACTAACTATCCGTGATGTTTTCGTATGCAAAGATTAGCTGCACCGTAGCACTGTGTGCAGTTGTTGTTGCAGTACAAGGCACTGATAGGTACGTGGAACAGTTTCAGCTCTCTGAATCCGACACGGACTTCATCCAAGAGAAGGTGGACTTGGCGAAGAAGTACCTCTTTCTTGAAGAGACTCGACATGGAGGTGAACTTACCGAAAGCGGGAAGTGCTGGGCTTGTAAATTTCTGGCAGAGACATTGTACACGCTGGTGGTGCAGAAACGCCCGGAACATGATATTGTCGAGATATGTACGGATATTTGCATAAAGGGGAAGATTGAAGACGAAAGGGTGTGTCGGTATATTACCAGAGAGTATAAGGTATGTTCAAGCACTTAATCAGTTTTGGTTAGAATTGGTCTTCAGCAACCCATGCGTGTCGTAAGAGGCGACTAACGGGATAGGGTGGTCAGACTCGCTGACTTGGTTGACACATGTATCCCAATTGCGTAGATGGATGTTCGTGCTGCTGATCACTAGATTGTCTGGTCCAGATCGCCGCCATACAGCTGGAATATTGCTAAGTGCGTTGCTTAACAACCAACAAACAAAACAATGAAATGATGCAATTTGAGGAACGATGACATTGCGTTTGAGTAATTAGGATGAGTGAGTTAGCAGGGTTTAATGCCGTTTTTAAACTCTATTCTAGTTATGTAACGGCGTGTTCACAAGATTGGTAGACTATTATTTACAGATCGCCGCCATATAAGTGGAATGTTGCTGAGTGCGGCGTAAAACAACAAACAAACAAACAACTACTTAATTTGTTTGAGTTGCATTTTAGAAGTTGAGACGTACAATATAGAACAATTGTTTATGGATAACGATCACTCTTGCTTGACAACGGTACAAGAATCTGTATCGAAACGTCGCACTAAATAAAGAAGTTGTTATCAACAACAAAAAATCTATATTGAACCACTTAATTAGTGATAAAGCATGTTTATGGGTTTATTGATGTCAGATAAATAAGCAAATTAAAAAATGAGCTATCATGATACTATAAGTGTATAAACGGCGTGATAAAGTGGTTGCAGGGAGACCAAAAAAAATCCTGCTTGACTAAAACGGGAAGTTGGGCAGCCTCATGGTTAATCACTGGCTCGTTCAGCAGGAAACGCAGGTTCAAATTCCACTTAGGTACAAAGTGCGGGGTCTATCCATGGTGTTCTCCAACTGACATTACTAAATGCGGCTTAAAATTGAAAAAATAAAAAAATAAAAACACAGCTAGGATATAGCTGGAATAGCTGGTGTATGGTTATAAGCGTAGTAAACTCTACTCATTCAACAATAAACTATGAGTGAGTGAGTTTAGTTTTACGCCACGTTTAACAATATTCCAGCAATATAACGGCGAGGGACACCAGAAATGGGCTTCACACATTGTACCCATGTGGGGAATCGAACCCGGGTTCATAGTTTAATGGGGGCTCGTCACGCCGAAGACCCGGATTCGATTCCCCACATGGGTACAATGTGTGAAGCCCATTCCTGGTGTTCCCCGATATTGCTGAATGCTCAAAAAACAAAGGTTAAAGCAGCGTAAACTAAACTCACTCATTCACTCCATCAACTGTTTCAGACAACGGGCATGAGCGATTAGGGGTTAAACCACCGATGGTTATTATAAAGAAGGCTTCTGTGAGTGTTTGTGGTCTGATTGTACAATAAGTGCTCGGGCGGTGGTCTAGCATTATTGAAAAGATTATATGGCTTGAATACCGCTAAAAGCAGCGTAAAACTATACTAAACTCACTCACTTAAACTATAAACCATAGTCATATCATTAGTGCTAACATGACTGACAGTAGTCCTATCTTGTCGGTCTACTGTCCTGGTATGTACCCAATGAGATAAGGTTGATATATGTGACAGATTTCTTACAGACCGATACAGATACACATCCAGATCATGTAGTGACGTACGTGCACTGTCGTTATCACCACTTGACCTATTGTAACCCGTGAACTAGATACCATGATGAGTGAATACAAGTTTACGCCACATTTCATTTACCGGGTGAATAGTGAGGTCAACGTTTTTATTGCCCTGATCAGTGTCTAATCGAATGTTATTGTCAGCCCCATGGAGCTAAAATGTTAATAACCACATAACCATCGCATACTACCGGGTACCCATTTACTGCTGGATGAAACATTTCAAACAGATTCACTTTTCTGATGCGTAATAGTGGACTTCCAGGTCTGCACACGACACCATTGACCACTGTATACAAATTCAGACGTATGTGTATGTTAATCTAAGGGGCAGCGGGTAGCCTAGTGGTTAAAGAGTTCACTCGTCACGCCGAAGACCCGGGTTCGATTCTCAACATGGGTACAATGTTTGAAGCCTATTTTGGGTGCTCCCAGCCATGATATTGCAGGAATATTGCTAAAAGCGGAGTCAAACTAAATTCACTAACTATGTAAATGAAGCGACACTACAAATAGAACGCATATGTTGACGTCATCCGTTTGAGTGAACGTTCTAGTTACCTTGTTTGGACACCATTTCAGACATCATTTCTGTGGTTTCACTTCAATTCTCCCACGCGGAGCTGACACATTAAAATCGCACAAAGTTACGTTGAACCTCATTCTAGTACTCACTCATGTTTCAGGCTCGTTGACTTGGTTGCCACATGTCGTCGTACCCCAGTTGCGTAGATCGCTGCTCATGCTGTTGATCACTGGATTGACTGGTTCCAACTCCATTATTTACAGGCCGCCTTTATAGCTGGAATAGTTCTGAGTGCGGCGTTAAACAACAAATTAACAAACAAATAATAAGCTCACTGCTGATACATATCAAGCTATGGCTGATACTAGTCTGACGTCACTACAACCCCCCGTTGTTTCCTTGCAGGATATGGCGATCACTGTGGTCCAGCAAGCGGTGCTGACCCCTGACCAGATCTGTGGCACCATTCTGGGACCGTCCTGTGCCACGCCTTACGACCCCTTGGACATGTGGAACATCTCCCTCCCGAACACGCCGAAACCCCCTGTTAAACCCCCTCAACCCCCGGCGGTGAGGCCATGACTGTATGCCGTATCTAAATCTTATCGTCACGCGAAGGACTATTTTGCATCTTTGACATGTGACATGTTTTAATTCTCGGTACAAATATTTCAGCAAACACATTTCTTCCTACATCTGCAATCAGTCGTATTTCAGGATTGATACTGAAACTATTTTAAAATGTTTTTCTAAATATAATTATTCCCTCATGCGTGATGGTATCTCTAAGTGAAACAAACAAAACTGGTCATTCAATGGTCATGTACTTCTTTCAGGTAGTCGTGTTTGAACGTTTAAAAAACGTTTGACATTTTTGTCATATTCAATTTTCAAATGTATACTTCTTTTTGTCGGTCTGATTATATACAAGAATGTCCCAAAGATACATCATCCTATGAAGGTTGTTTCCGAACAGGGGGGTGGGGTAGCCTAGTGGTTAAAGCGTTGGCTCGTCACGCCGAAGACCCGGGTTCGAATCCCCACATGGGGACAATGTGTGAAGCCCATTTCTGGTGTTCCCCGCCGTGATGTTGCTGGAATATTGCTAAAAGCGGCGTAAAACCAACCTCAGTCAGTGTTTCCGAACACCCTTGACCTTGAACCTCGCCTCAAGGTCCCTGGCTATGGGTCACTGTGGTGTTTCTCCTGTCTGTAGCCTGGCTATAGGTCCCTGGCTATAGGTCACTGTGGTGTTTCTCCTGTCTGTAGCCTGGCTATAGGTCCCTGGCTGTGGGTCACTGTGGTGTTTCTCCTGTCTGTAGCCTGGCTCCCCGAAGGTCCGGTTCTTGCAGCTGACCGACATACACATCGACATGATGTACCAACCCGGCAGGAGCGCCGACTGTAACGAACCTGTGTGTTGTCGTAGCAACGACGCCAAGCCAGGTAAGATTTGCTCATGCAGATGTTTCACACTTCCACACGGATATGTCTTATTGCACATGGCGATTATCAAAAGCAAATTTACATTCATCGAAGTAGAAAAATTGAAAAGGTCTTCACATGTCTGTGAAATGACATTCGAAATTAGAATAAACGCAAACATTGTCCTTGCTGCATGTTAAAATCAACGTGGAGCTATAAGCATGTGTCGTTTCTGTAAGCAATTTCTGTTGCTATACTGTTGACCTGAACTTTTCAAAATGAAACCCCCAAAAGACCACCAACAAACAACAACAAAACAAACAAAAACAAAAACAAACCCAAAACAACAACAAAACAAAATACCCCAATAACCCCCAAATAAATAAAAAAAATAAAAAAAAAAAAATAAAAAATACTAAAAAAAAACTGATAATAATTACAAAAATTAATAGCAATAATAATAAATCACATGTACAAACATACACAATACAAAAACAAAAACCAGAGCAAACCAAATCAAAGCAAACAGCAAAATTAAACGATAAGAAATACTAAACCAGAGAGCCCCATACAAACAAGAAATACAAAATGTTAAAACTACAAGTTAAACGACAACAAATATCACCAAAATAATGTCAACAGAGACATGTGTAAACAATAACTTATTGCATTCTTCATGACTAAGAGCTACAAACATTGTTTCTCCCCCAGGTGAAGGTGAGACGGGGGCTGGTCGGTGGGGTGACTACCGGGGCTGTGACGCGCCCCTCTCCCTTGTGGACAACCTGTTCCAAGACCTTGCCTCTAAAGCCGATCAGGTGCGTCAGCTGCTGCTGTTTCGGTAGTGGCCGTTACAATATCTTGCCGGTAACATGGGGTAGGATAAGTCCCGATTATCAATGGTGGGGTTTTCAGGGCAGAATATACAGGGTCATGAAGCCGTGTGTCTCCTCCTGTGTTGATTTTAAGGCAGAATGGATGACGAGTATCTCATACGTTTCTACAGGTGGGATTCTAGGACAGAACAGATCCACAGTATTTAATGTTTGTCGTACCTATCTGGGATTTAAAAGCAAAATAGATCCCCAAGATTCAATGCTTTGTATACCACAGACCCTCGTGTCTTTGCCAAGATTAAAGATTAAGAAAAATAAATGTTTGAGATGATCCCCGACTCGAAATGCTTCACAGTACAGTACATCATAATGTATTCTACTGTGAAGCATTTCGAGTCGGGGGTCATCTCAAATTTTATATATGTTTTCAGAATCTTTAATCCTCGCAAAGACACGAGGGCCTGTGTTGTATACCTGTGGGGATTCCAGAGCCGAAGTGGTCCCAAGAACTTCATATGTGCCTTCCTTAGGGACTGTGTTCTGTCTATCCAGTCTGTTGGGTTCGGATACGATGGTCTTTCATAGTAGTCGGCCTCACCTAGAAAATGATACAAATGGAGCTGGTTTTATGTTTGATATTTCCACATATTATCTATCAACCTCTAGTAATTTGGTTTTGCTATGTTCAAGCCTAAAGATCCCCATTTTGTTCGACTTTTTATCTTGGTACCCTAAAAACAACCCCGCACAATCTGAAATAGAGGTCACAAACTTCAGGAAACAAAATATGCAAGAAACATTTTGTGTGTTTGAGATAGGCAGAAGTCCTCTAGAATCAAGCTTAGATATTAAAGTGCATACAAATGCAATTTGAAACTACAATATCTTGTTAAAGTGACTTCCCCTTCATATTTACTGAAAGAGCTTGTTTTGGAGACAGATGATGTAATCATGAGGACATAACTTGTTCAATTGTCTTCTTTGATTGGCATTTTAGAAGTTGAGTTGATGAAGAATAATGACAATTATTATGGATATACAACTTCTTTTATTCTGTTCTAATGTCGTTGTCAAGCAAGTGACATCACTTGCTTGACAACGACATTTGAACCTATGTCGAAACGTCACCTCCACAGAATAAAAGAAGTTGTATATCCATAATAATTGTCATTATTCTTGTTCAATTGTTTTCACTTATTCATACATGATGCTATGGGTTCAAACTAAGTACTGAATGGTCACACAAGTGTAAGCTTTAATATCGGCACACAATGTTTTTGAAAGATTAAAATGGAGGTGTCCTTAAAAAACAGTCCCCGTCTAAATATAAATCAAGCAATCCAAATCTTTGAATGTTGATTATGACGGGTAGTCATCCAATACTATACTGAGCATATTTTATATGATATTATAATAGGCATACCATTATCCAAGAGGTACCAAATGACAGATCGTTTTTCATTTTCTGCAACGTTTTAAGAAATATACTCCAATGTGTTGTGATGACTTAAAATCTCGTTAACCACATTACCCACATTTGTAAAATTTTGGATATGGCTTTGCTAATGATTCCTTCAAAATAAAATGGAAACTTTTCAAACAATGGACATCGAGAATATAGCTAGGCCGACTACGTTTTGAACGCCCTCGTAGGTCCCCCAAATCTTTACAAATGCATGCTCGGGAGGTTATAATGCGTGACCAACAGCTGACATCTTGTGTGTCATAACCTAGTCCGGCTGCGCTGATCGGTGTTCATGCTATCAACCACTACTATCGGAATGAGTGAGTGAGTGAGTGAGTGAGTGTGGTTTTACGCCGCTTTTAGCAATATTCCAGCAATATCACGGCGGGGGACACTATACAAGGGCTTCACACATTGTACCCATGTGGGGATTCGAACCCGGGTCTTCGGCGTGAACTATCGGAATGGATTATAGTGGTAGATAATAACGTACTGCTGCCTATGTGTTTCAGATTGACTTCGTGATATTCACGGGAGACATCACCGCACATGACGTGTGGAACCAGTCTAGGAGTGACCAGCTGTCGGCTCTGAGAGACTGGTGTCCTACTTCGATAAGTACCTCCCCGGGAAACAGGTGTACTTCTGTGCCGGTAACCATGACAGCGCCCCATGTGACAGGTAGGAGATCTTTCCATTGGTCAGTTGGACAATTTTTCGCACACTTATTTTATTTTGCAAACAAGAGAAGGAATTGTTTCTGCAAACATTTCGTGTAAGTTGGTACGGTTTCATTTTGCCACTTCGATTGGAACAGAAACGACTGTCTGTTTATGGAAAAAATGTGAACATTTAAGAATATTGATTTCGTTTTAAACAGTTTCCCGCCAAATTTCATCACGGGGAATAACTCTATAGAGTGGATGTACTCCGCAATGGCCGACAACTGGGGGCGTTGGCTGCCTCCAGACACAAGGGAGACAATCATGAGGTGAGGTGAACTGACACCGATTCCACCACTGGTTGTATTATGTACTTTTACTGAGCCTAAGGCAGGGAAACATCAAGTATCACATGTTAACGTCTTTGGTATGACGCCTCCAAGGGATCGAATCGCCGACTGTCCAGGCAGACACCCTGTCCACTAGAAGACGGTTTGGTTTGGTGAGGTTGTTGTTTTAACGTTGCACTTAGCAATATTCCAGCTATATGGCGGCGGTCTGTAAATAATCTACTCTGGACCAGACAACCCAGCGATCAACAGCATGATCATCGATCTACGCAATTGGGATACGATGACATGTGTCAACCAAGTCAGCGAGCCTGACCACCCGATCCTATTATATTCATCTCTTACGATAAGCATGGGTTCCTGAAGATCAATTCTAACCCGGATCTTCTCGGGTACACCAGACAACGGAAGCGTTCTGATGACACTCAGGAGATTATTTGTACAGGAACTGCTCTCACGTATGCTTAGATAACTTCCCCCGTCATACCGATATCAAAATGATTTCATATGTATCTTATTTTTCCACCAGAGGGGGATTCTACACCATGTCCCCATTTCAAGGGTTCCGCATTATCTCCGTCAACAACATCTTCTGCTACACCGGCAACTGGTGGCTCATGATCAACAACACAGACCCGAACGGCCAGTTGCAGTGGCTGGCGGAGACTCTACAGAAGGCAGAGGACGCTGGGGAGAAGGTTAGAGAGGAATGTGTGCGTGCGTGCGTGCGTGTGTGTGAGGGGTGGTTGTGGGAGAGTCGTACGGGAGAGAACAGTGTCTGGATTGATCCATCAACTAACCATCCACGGACACGCTACAGGACATAATGACTGATGTTTTTCTTTTCACTTCAGGTTTTGGTTTCTGTGTGTGTATTTGGGGGAGGGGAGGGGTTGGGTAGGATGAAGGGTTGTGTTGGGTGCCGCTGAGGTGTGGGTTGGTGTGGGCGTTAAGGGAAGAGCGAGGGTGGGGGTGTCATGAGAGCAGTATACTAGCCACATATGGTGGAAAACTCGCGAAATAAGGTCAGACAAGATTGTGTGTAAGGGGTGGGGATATATCTTTGAACGAGAGGGTAAGGTTGGCTTTGAACCCTATTCAGTTGTATTACGGCGAAAAAAACAAAATAGTGTTGATCCTGTTACGACAAAGGGGCATAACTCTGTTTAACGAATAGCGGCGTCTAGGGCAAAAGGAACCCCATGCCACTGCAAAAAAGGAACCCTACCATTTTCCACCGTTCCTCAGAGATGGAAAATGAACAATCTATGTTAAAGATGAAGTTACGACATCTAGCGCTACGACTATCGTAAGTCTATGTGTACGGTTTTATCTTAGCGCTACGTTTGCTTTGCCTTTTCTTCCTTTTCTTCCCACGACCCATTAGCAGAAGGTGATAAACACAGATATGTTTTCCCAGGTATTCATTCTAACACACATACCAACAGACTGCATGAAGTCTTGGAGCTGGAACTACTACAACATCGTCAGCCGGTGAGTAGCTGTCCTGTTGAATGTCGTGTTGTACGGATATGTCAAACTCAGTCGACAATCACGAAGTAAGAACTGAGCCAGAGGGTTCTAATTATCGGAAATAATTTCACTAAATCAGTTTAATCAATTTTCTTTTGAAAAGGCTGAGGTCCGTTCCACAAAGGGTTAATTAAACATACTGATGGAATTTATCTTCTGTGGAATCAGGCACGTGTCTTATTATTTGTCAAAGGCATTCTAGTATCCTTTTTTGCAGTTGTGTAAGGTATAAGGGCCTGTGTCCTCCATTAAGATGCGGGTTAGAATTGGTCTTCAGCAACCGACGCTTGTCATAACTGGCCACTAACGTGATCGGGTGGTGAGATTCGCAGACCTGGTTGATGCATATCAGTGTGTCACAATTGCGTAGATCGATGCTCATAATGTCGATCACTGGATTGTCTGGTCCAGATTATTTACAGATCCAAGTGAGGAGGAGTCTGGGATTCGAACATACGGCAAGCAGACCATTACAGATTAAGGGGCCTCTGACCTGTGAGCCAGCAATATTACCGGTTAGACTTTCTACAGAAAAGATCCGGGTTAGAGTTCGTCTTCAAAACCCACGCTTGTTCACTTAATGATCCGAGTTGGACACGGTCTTCAGTAACCCATTAAGCAAATCAAAGCTTTAGACTTTTACACGACATGTTCCAGGTACGAAAGCACCATCGTAGGACAGTTTAACGGCCACACCCACACAGACGAATTCCGCGTGTACTACGACGTCGCAAACCTCACCCGCCCTGTCAACGTGGCCTACGTGGGTGGGTCCGTGACGCCCTACTCAAACAAGAACCCCAACTACAGGATCTATACCATGGACGGCTTCTACGCCAATTCCTCCTTCGTAAGTCATTCACTCAAGTTATGAGCGTACGATAGGTACAGGAGCTCACCTTCAATTAATGATACATGGAAACTTTCAGCGCATACAGTGTTAATATTTTAGTTGACTTTGATATTCACATGGTAACATGCTTTCTTAATAGGATGGATAATTAACATAACTGTGAATGTGTAGGCCATTGAATGTCCAAAGTTATAGGATTCGAACCAGGACCGCCTCATCTTCAGACGGACGCCTTGTACTCTTGACCAAAGCGGTTGACCATGAACGAGGTTAACGAGATAAGGACGTCATCTGTGGGATGAATCCACGCCCGACATCTTGAAGCTGTTTATTGTGACGTCCATGATTATTGCATTCATATAACCACGTGGCTGCATGTATGTGTGTGTTTGTATAGCTGGTTGTTCTAGTCTAGACTGATGTCCAGCTTTATCGTTAGCCCTCTGAGATACGATGCGCTTTGTTATTGTAACATGTATACCCTTAATAAGACATCCAGTCCAATCGACCACAGGTGTGGTCAAGAAGTATTTGTGACATAATGTGTGGTTTCTATACAGCTCCTAAGTTCTTCCTGGTGGCGAAGGTGTAGCCTTGTGGTTAAAGCGTTCGCTCGTCACACCGAAGACCCAGGTTCGATTCTCCACATGGGTACAAGGCGTGAAATCCATTTCTGGTGTTTCCCGATGTGATATTGCTGGAATGTTGCTAAAACGGCGTAAAACTAAATTCAATCACAGATCTGTGTTTGAATGGGTGAGAGCACACTGTCTCTCACAATTAATCAGGTCAGGTGGCCAGGCTCTGTGAACACCTTCGTATCATCGTGCACCAATGGTTCGTTGGTCATGATATCGTTCACTGGTTTGATCAGTCAGTGTTATCTGTCAGGCCAAGCTGCAATAGTAGAAACAACATTAGCCGTCTGTTTCATTGTTTTACAGGCAGTTCTGGACTACGAGGACTATATGTTTGATTTGAGGAAAAACAACAACGGCAGCAGTGCCTCTTGGGATCTGGAGTACAGTCCATTGGTGAGTGAGTGAGTGGGTGAGTGAGTGAGTAAATGAGTGAGAGTTTAAAATCGCTTTGAACAGTTAGTGAGTGAGTGAACTTCAAGCTTTGAACAATATTTCAGTTATTTCAGATTGGGAACAAAAATTGGGAGCAAAGGAGCAACACCCAACATTATATAGGCGCGACACAGATAGTTCCTTTGTGTAAACCATGAACCATGGTATGGGACTGGAAGGTTGATTATAATAGAAGGGATTCTGGGGTACGAACTTACGATATTATCAAGTCACGTCTGGGGATTCGAATCTTTAGAGCCGTACATAGCTTTAACGTAAAAAACTGCTTGTACCGTTGTAGTGAGTGGGTGAGTTTAGTTTTACGCCGCACTCAGCAATATTCCAGCTATATGACGGCGGTCTGTAAATAATCGAGTCTGGATCAGACAATCCAGTGATCAACAGCATGAGCATCGATCTGCGCAATTGGGAACCGATGACATGTGTCAACAAAGTCAGCGAGCCAGACCACCCGATCCCGTTAGTCGCCTCTTACGACAAGCATGGCGTCAATTCTAACCTGGATTTTTGCCATAGTAGAGCAGATGTTCTGATGAATTTTTCATAAGAAAATAATCGTTTGTTTATATACCTTAAAATACAGTAACTTCCTTGACACAACTTTGTAATTGTACCTGCTGAGAATGGTCCTTTGACGTAATGAACTCTTTTGTGGTACGTGTTTGATGTTGTTTTTCTGATCGCATAGCATGTCTCTCTTCAGACTGAGTATGGTATGGAGGGCAGTTACCCCAGCGACTGGAACAACCTCATCTACAGGATGAAAGACGACGACGCTCTCTTCAACAAATTCATCACGTCAGTAGAGTATACCAAATAATTTTGATAGGCATGTTTACATGAGCTGTTGATTACAGAACAACTTGGTAATAGTGCCACCTTTGGCAAATGGTAATATACATCATTATTACCCACGTGGTCAACTTATGGGGTAGTTGCATACTAATCTCGTACGTCACATGGGTGTCGTATCGCATTGTCGTAACGACTTGACCTGAGGTCCTAGCGATTTGATTGGATAACCGATGACCTCTCAATTCACTGTGACAATTCGTCACATCTTACACAGCCCATATTCAATATAATGTACATATTTCTTAACTCTTTTATTTTTGACGAGTCTACACGTCTAATTAAACATCTTTGATAGAATGGTTTAGTTTCACTGAGAAAATATCCTAAAACATGTAACACTATTTCGATTTGCGTAGCGATCCTTTGTTTACATGGGTTGTACGGCTCCACGTGCTGTCATCGAAGCCTTATTGAGAGCAAACGATCCAGCCCCTTCGATATGTCAAAGACGTATATATAACGTCTTTGGATATGTCAATATGTATTGTCATAAACCTTACTGTCGCAGTTGTAGAAGATTATTTATGTAACAATGTAAAACATTATCAAGACCGCGCCGAATCGCTTACGTTGGGCCAGTATCTTCTTATTATGAATATGCGCGTTTGTTTACAAACAAGAGAAAAGTCCGGTCACGTGATATGCATATTAGCCTGTGGCAGTGATGTTATGCTAAGTCATCACTGCGCCGGGGGGTGTTCTGGCCTGTGGCAGAGGTACTATGCTGGCTGGCCGCATAGAACTCTGGGCATGAAACCGGTTTCGGTTTGAAACCATAACAATAACAAAAATACGCTATTTTGTCAATTTAATGCATGTAAGACGTGGGTATTAAAATACCTGATTTAGCTTTCGCTCGGTCAGATACCATAGGAAGGACACTCGTTTCGTATAATTCGTATTTAATGAGACCTCGTGTAGTATTCTCCATATATCCATCATTATAACGATGTTTGGCAACATAGAACGTGTTGGTCATGCTTTTTCCTGCCGAAGCAGAATATCAATTTCATGTACAGTCCGTTTGATTTCATTTGAGACCGATGAATTGCTCACTGACACAAAATCTAATAATTGCAACAAAACCAAATTTGGCAGTCACATGAAATCGACGGACCAACTCTGTGCACGTATATATACACAATATATTTCTTTCAGCCACAAATCCAGAGGAGGAGATTTGACGCCATGCACTCGAGGCTGTAAAACAGACATGTTGTGTCATCTCAAATCAGCCCGTTCTGATGACCCGGAGTTGTGTAAGGACATACTGGATAAGGATGAGTAGTGTGTTATTCCTTTCCAGAACCGGAAGATCCAACGTCTGAATTGTTTTCTTTTTGTGTGTTTGTAACGTCGCACTGAGCAATGTTTTAGGCGTATGGCGATACTCGTGCCTCCATCAAGAACATCGATCGGTGCAGTTTGGATTCAATGACATGTGTCAACAATGTATGCGAATCTTACAATCCATCCCCTTTGTCAGCTTTTCCGGAGTAGGATCTTCACGGGGATCATGCCAGTTTGCTAAATATGGCCGAAAACAATGATTTGGAAAAATGCATAAATGGCATTGTGTCACCAATATTTATAGTCTCTGTATTTCTTCACTATGTCAGTGTTCTCGGACCAAGTCATTGTTTGCCTACTCTTGGAAAGAGGCTGGGAGCTGCTACATTGTGACTTGGTTTTAGTGAGAGTGATTGATTGAGTGAGTACGGTTTGACGCCGCTTTAGCAATATTCCGGCAATATCACGACGGGGACACCAGAAATGGGTTTCACACATTGTATGCAGGGGAATTGAACCCAGGTCTTCAGCATGCCGAGCGAACGCTTTATGTACTAGGCTACCCAATCAGATATGACTGACTGACTGACTGAGTTTGGTTTTACGCCGCTTTTAGCAATATTCCAGCAAAATCACGGCGGGGGACACCAGAAATGGGCTTCACACATTGTACCCATGTGGGGATTCGAACCCGGGTCTTCGGCGTGACGAGCCAACGCTTTAACCACTAGGCTACCCCACCGCCCCCCCATCAGATATGAACCATACCGAAGTCACACTACACAATCGCGACATTAAGCAAAACATCACCAGAAAGCAACGCAAGTGATGAATATATAATTTATTTCCATGTGTCTTCAACAATAATTAGCTGTAACATAATGTAAAACACAAACTTGGACATGTAATTCTCATAAGATTGAGAGTGCACGAGACATAATCGGCACTAGCCAATGTAAGTAGCGTCTAATATACAAGAGCCATCCTGGCAGTCCTCTGTATGAGGTTAACTCATTGGGTTTCGTGAAGGAATGGGCTGCATGGGAGAACTGCCTGCTTGGAACTGTATTTCAGTAATTGTAGTATTACCTCCCTTCGTAGCACGCCATGTCAGCTTAGTATGGGTAGAACAGCACATACACAGCTACGTATCATAATAAAGGCGAATCAGCGCTTCGCAAAATGATCAGAGGATCATGGCACGACAAGGGACTCAACTCTGCACTTTGCTGTTGAGCGCAAGGTCATTTCTGGTCCCTAGCGGTGAGCAACGTAACTTTTCAGATACGGAATATTTCATCCTTCTGCTGAAAACATACATCCTTGATTTGAAATGAGCATTTTTGATTTTGTCATAGTTTGGAAATAACTGGCAAAGAAAGTAAAACTGGACGTTTTCATTTACAAAGGAAACACCCAAACGATGACCATGCTGAAAAATATTCATTCTGACTGACATACAGTTATACAGTGCATCTTTGTACATGTGCAGCAACAGATTTGAGTGACTGAAGTGGGTCTAACCCTGACTGGACATTACGCCAGTTATGCCTTGGCATGTGAGCTCGATGTGGGAGGAGTGAGTGAGGTTGGTTTTAAGTCACTTTTAGCAATATTCCAGCAATATAACGGCGGGGACACCAGCAATGGGCTTCACACATTGTACCCATGTGGCGAATCAAAGCCGGGCCTTCGGTGAGTGAGTGAGTTGAGTTTTACGCCGCACTCAGCAATATTCCAGCTACATGGCGGCGGTCTGTAAATAATCGAGTCTGGACCAGACAATCCAGTGATCAACAGCATGAGCATCGATCTGCGCAACTGGGAACCGATGACATGTGTCAACCAAGTCAGCGAGCCTGACCACCCGATCCCGTTAGTCGCCTCTTACGACAAGCATAGTCGCCTTTTGTGGCAAGCATGGGTTGCTGAAGACCTATTCTACCCCGAATTCGGGCCTTCGGCGTGACGAGCGAACACTTTAACCACTAGGCTACCCCTGACGTTTACCACAATGGTGAGACATGAGCATGAGTACAAGAGCGGACTAAAATGATCGATAATTAGAAATATGGTGGATAGGAAGGATTATATATGACTGACTGACTGAGTATGGTTTTACGCCGTTTTAGCAATATTCCAGCAATATCACGGCGAGGGGGGAGGTTATTAATGATTATCAATATGAAACTTGTGCTATCGATAATATCGTACATAAACTTTAGTGATTGAAAAGGATTTCTCACACAATATACAAATTAAGGACTTATTCATGGTCTGACTCCATCCTGAATCATGTCACCACTTACCAGTGATGTGAAATATATGTATTTCTCAGACATTTTTGGCAGTTTTGCTCAGTTGCGCCTCCAATATTTATCGACAATCAATCAATATTTGGTTAACAAGTATCGATCTCTCTGATCCATATCGATAGCCAGCCCTAATGGATATGGTGCTGAGAACCTTGATTCACATTCAGGGCAAACCTATCTTTGAACCCACGATCTGAAGATTACAGCGTCCACGATGGACTACAATAGCCATGACGTATACTATGGAATACATATATTTATACACACAAACATTATTTTTCTTGTCGTTGCTCTTCTTCTGTCATCGGGATCAAAATCCTCTATTGCAATTAATCCATGTAATTTATCACAGAGGTATCTCATACACGTTTCATATACAGAAAGGCAAAGCTGCCCATCACAATATTTTGAGCTTAATATCCAGTACCTGCATATCAACATATTGAGATCAATAATTTTTCTATAAAATACATATCGTCATATTTTGATAACAAATTTCTAAAGGATATTTCTATTATTTACAATCAGCGTTTGCTGGACTGGTCCTGTATTACAAAGGCTTCATCCGAGATGTGTTTTACCTCATGTAAAAATATTATTAAAATTAGTTTGGCATGAGATTAACTACAAAATATGAACTATTAAATTCTTTGAACGCTATGGTCACTTGGAAGGTACTGGAAAACCTGCCATCTGTTATCACTACAATGTTGATGTTTTGATGGATTTTCGTTAAACAACTTTGACAATACATGATGTGGTGGAGTGCGTTTGGTTTTGGTCGCTGTGAACACGTTTTCCAAATCATCCCATGAGTGCAAGGAGGGGAGACAACCCAATGAACAATATTTCCAATACATCCCATGGTGTCAAGGAGGGGAGACAACCCAATGAACAATATTTCCAATACATCTCATGGTGTCAAGGAGGGGAGACAACCCAATGAACAATATTTCCAATACATCCCATGGTGTCAAGGAGGGGAGACAACCCAATCAACAATATTTCCAATACATCACAGGGTGTCAAGGAGGGGAGACAACCCAATAAACAATAATTCCAATACATCCCATGGTGTCAAGGAGGGGAGACAACCCAATGAACAATATTTCCAATACATCACAGGGTGACAAGGAGGGGAGACAACCCAATGAACAATATTTCCAATACATCCCATGGTGTCAAAGAGGTGAGATAACCCAACGAACACCATTCCCAATACATCCCATGGTGTCAAGGAGGGGAGACAACCCAATGAACAATCTTTCCAATACATCACAGGGCGTCAAGGAGGGAAGACAAAGCACTCAAAGGTATGATGATTGTATATACCATATAGTGTAAATAATGACGCTTTTGATAACTATCACAAGTACCCCAGGAGAATCAGTCATAAGAATATCGTCACAATATGTATGTGGCATCCATAGAGGGTCTATCATTTCAATACAAGGACACTACTCACTCTTTATAATACCTGACCAGTCCATCAACAGCTGAGGTATGCCCATATGTACATAGGAACTGGCTAATAATTGTACTACAAGTACGAAAATACCAAGTGAAAAAATAAAGCTATTCATAACCACAACCCGGCACACCTGATGATACCATGACACATTTACTTGCCTTCGCTGAAATGACCGAGTCAGACACTGAAGTCCACGGTACTTGTAGATCATTGGATACATAAATGCCACAGAGCATTGTTGTAAACCTTTGATATTGGTAAAAGTAACGTGTCGATCATCTTGGAGCACTTGAACATCAACCAACAAACCCTGGATTTAAGTGAGTGAGTTCAGTTTTATGTGGCTTTTAGCAATATTCCAGCAATATCAAGGTGGGGACAGCAGAAAAGGGCTTCACACATTGTATGTGGCGAATTGAACCAGGGACTTTAGCACGATGAGCAAACGCTTTAACCACTGGGCTATCCTACCACCCAGACAAAACATTCTGTTTACAGATTGGCTATCATCACAATCTGGGCTCCAACTGTTATATTTTAATACTTTTTGTGGAGATTGATAAAGTTTCAAGACTGCAAGATAAAATTCACACAACTCTTTCCACACTCATAAACCAAAGAGTTATCAGTTTCAATGGTAGTCAGGAAATGTGATTCAGTTTTATTTCACAACATAATTTCAATTATTTGTCTCGAAAATTACTTTCTCACTTAGATGGAAACAGAAATTTGGATTGTAGCGGAAAGGAATTTCAGACAAATCTGTCTGGAATCTATCATGGATTTTTACGAAAGGTGAGAAAGGGGGGGTGAGAAATGGGTGGCTGCACACTTCATTTTCACAAGAGTTTCAATGGTCATTTAAGAAACTTTCAGGACAAAAGGCACCCCACTTCTGGATCCGCCTATGCCAAAGCACAATCATTACTGTGAGCATGTTACTCTTAAAATATCATGCAACTACAGATGTCCTGGAAAGCAATGAAAAGAATGTTTATGCTCATGAAAATATCATCTTCTTTTCACATATGATCCCAAACCAACAAAATGAATCAACATTTATCAATATTTCACCCCCATTGTCAGAATCTCATCTTAAAGTTTCCACACCCCATACCATATATGGCAATGATTACACACTTCGCTCAGAGTAATCTCCCTTCACATATGCTAGTCTTGACGTTCTAATGCCCATCATACGATCGGCAGTGAAACTGAACAGTGTGTAATGCAATGCCTGTGTCTATGTTACATGCAATCTTCTCACATCAGTTGAATGGCAATTACCCTGTAGTCTTCTAACAACAATCAAGCAACAAAAATCAAAATGTATGTTTACAAAATGTCAACAGAACAAATAGGAATATTGCATGTGATTTGTACACTGTTACCATGGCAACAAATGCTCTAAACAATCCTGAAAAAATGCCCATTTCTTTAATGCCTTAAGCATCGACCATACCCAACACAGGTCCCGCAACATATTCACAATAACAATTACAGACATTTACAGATGGACCATACAGACAGGTTTGCCTTACATGTTTCTGCTCTCGTCAGTGGAATCATACACTATTTTTACCACTTCCTTAAGTGACATTTAGAAGCTGGTATGACGAAGTGGAACATATTTTATGTATTGACAACTTCATTATTGCAATAGATGTGACATTCTGATATAGAAGCTAACAGACTTGTAATCACTTGCATCACATCGAGACATCACATCTATTGCAACAAAAAAGTTGTCAATCCATAAAACTGGTTCCACTTGAATATATTTGCCAATTGTGATATCATGTACAATTACTTTGACTAGCAAGTTTCTGACTGTCAGATGTTTTTGGAATATCATAGATTTGGGGTTACAGCTAAGAAAGCTGTAAATAATACAGGACAAGAGTAGGACACAAATGAATAATTCTTTTAAAAATAGATAATAGAGAGGCAGTGGTGACTGATGGCTAACTTTGCATGGCAAGTAATCTTTTTCGTATCCATGCTGTTTGCATGCGCACCTCTACTTACGAATATATGATTACTGAGTATCCCTTGAAGCCAGTAACATTAGTATAGCCAGTAACAGTAGTATAGCCAGTAACATTGGTATAAACAGTGTATCCAATACAGGGGTGGAAATAACCCATTGCCCGATGCCCCAGTCCAGTGTTTGTTTCTGTCGGGCAAGCAAATTTGGATGTCACGCTGTACCCGTGTCCAGTTGACTTTCCAATGTTAATTATGTTGTTTATTTAAAAAATCAACAAGGAAATCGGCCAGTATAGTTGAAAAATTATCAGTGCAAGTGATTTTACATGTGCCACTGTACCGGAGTACATTAGCAATTTTAAAGTTATTTCCACCCCTGCAATAAAACTGGAATGGACAGTGTGTCTTGTAACACTTCTGTCCAATACAACTGGAATGGATAGTGTGTTCGGTAACACTTCTGTCCAATACAACTAGTATGGATAGTGTGTCTGGTAACACTTCTGTCCAATACAACTGGTAAGGGTAGTGTGTCTGGTAACACTTCTGTCCAATACAACTGGTATGGATAGTATGTTCGGTAACACTTCTGTCCAATACAACTAGTATGGATAGTGTGTCTGGTAACACTTCTGTCCAATACAACTAGTATGGATAGTGTGTCTGGTAACACTGGTATGGATAGTGTATCTATAACAGGACATCCAAATATTTTGTTAAGGATATATTATCCTCAGTCTAAGTAAACTTAGGCTCACTATTAATCCTTACACTGCTATACTGAGTCTAACAAACCCTAGTAGAAGGTCATGTTAGCTATCCTTTTGAATTGACCAATCAGAACACAGCTTACCAAATCGCGAAAGTTAACATTCGCACATACCTTTTGAACCTTTACCTCAAAAACTTGAATGATTCTGAATGCTATTTTCCGAAGCGATCACTTCCAAGTGTTACACATGGAGGACACATTATTCACAACAGCGAGTAAACAATCGCTGTATATAGCATATTTGTCAATATTCCAGGATGTCATCTTGCGGACATATAAGCTAATTGTAACCATGTCAATTTGTCATTAGAAACCCCTAAGCGTATATATACACTGCAGGTCAAATATCTGTGTTTTATGCAGATTTTTGTTTGTTGGGAGATCAGTGTTAGCGACAAGGAAGAGAAAATCCAAAAACTATTTTGTAAGTCCCGCTGTCTGATTGGTTAAATCCATTTGGCCGTCTCGTGTTTGATTGGACGGTCATAGGTTGCTCAAAGGTTAGCTGATGCGACCTATCTACTACGGTTTGTTAGACTCAGTATAGCAGTGTAACGAATAATAATGAGCCCAGGTTTACTTGGGCTGATATTACCCTACAACACTGGCAAGGATGTAATCCTCTATCAGTTGCAAGGACATAATAACCTATGATACTAGTTAGGACATATATAATACAACACAGGTAAGGACATATATCCTTTAACAGTTGTAAGGACATATATCCCGTACCAGTGTTATAGACAGAGCTCCAGATAAGATTTAGCTCATGTGGGTACTGTACCCACTGTATTGTTTTGGAGTGGGTATTATGAATGTTGAGTGGGTATTTCATTTTCCGTTACCCACTGCTTTCAAATATGTGCGTATTTCAGTCATTTTACTCACCTAAGTATTATGTCATTGAGTAAGTTTACTAAGCAGGTATGTCCTGCCTTATGTCATACTTAATCAAAACCAACTTAAATATAATGGAAATGATTTCATAAAAAAATCACTCATCCTATACTGACAGTACAACACTTGTCCTATACTAACAGTACAACTTGATAGCAATCGATGTCTTTTTCATTACGCAAGCGATTTTATAAATATATATTCCGTACGCATTTGTTTTAAACTTTTTGTGTATCTAACATTTTAAATGCGTAATTGGTACGCAACAATTATTTTTCAATGCGTAATTGGAAAATTTCTATGCATATTTTACCCGGATACGCAGCTTATCTGGGCCTCTGATAGACATATATATCCCACGACACTGGTAAGCACATGTATCCAATCACAACGACAAGGATATATATTCTATAACATGGTCTATAATACCGTATGAGAAATAATCCACCATTCAATGACAACCCATCATACAGACTTCTGGGCTCTTCGTCACTTCAATATGGCCTCAAGAAACCTATAATCAGTTTCAGTCACAGAAACTGAGACACACATACAATCAGAATATATTGGAAACAATCAGTTCACTGATTCCTTGTCTGGGATGTTCAGTTGCTCTTTAGGTGAGATGTGAAGCGGTACTTGTTCTGTAAGAATGTGAGATTCAACCCATCTTTCTTCACTTTCTGCCGCATGACCATCAGTGTTGTGACTGTGTTGCCGGCAAACAGGAAGAAGTGGATGCATGACAGGACTATCACCTGAAGTAGAAACACAGTGCAGTGCAAAAACATCAAATCTCCTTCTATCCCAATCTCCATTTGCTTGCTAAACAACGTTGCGACGACATCCCACTCATTACATATCACCTTGCACACACCTAGTGACTGTCAAGAAGTCAACAATGGCCAATCAGAAGGCTGATTTCTGTAACTATACAGCAGTACTTTCCAGCTGGTGACTTTTGTTCTATGGTACACTTAAGGAACAGACCCATGAAGATCCAGGTTAGAAGTGATTTTCAGTAACCCATTCTTGTCGTAAGAGGCGACTTATGGGATGGGGTGGTCAGGCTTGCTGACCAGCATGTCATCCTATACCAAATGCGTAGATCGATGTTGTTGATCACTGGATTATCTAGTCCAGACTCAATTATTTCAGGCTGTCGCCACATAGCTGGAATATTGCTGAGTGCAGCGTAAAAGTAAACTCACTCACTCACTTAAGGCAAATTTTGACAAGGTTCTAGATTAAAAATTTGAAGTTTGAGCATTAAAACATTCTGGAATGTGTAGTTGATGGCCGACACTGTATGGCAGTACTTCTTGTTGCCATATAAAGTCTTTTCTGCTCAAATGTTTATACCAGTGAAGCTTTTGACAGAATCAATTGCACAGTGTTAACCTTTTCTGCATGTTTTGTTTTTGTTTTGAAAACACATTCCCACTGCCACGTTAGCAGGTAAGCAATAATTAGACTGGTGAAAGGTCAACAATTGTCTAACGTCATAATCAGTAGTGTGCCAGTCATATGATGCTGGCCTTAAATATTCAAGTGTGAATGTGACAACTAGTGACTGATATTATGAGCATTGAGTCTGCTCTTTTGATTTAAACCCGTTAAGATTTGGGTTAGAATTGGTCTTCAATAACCCATGCTTGTCTTTAGAGGCAACTAACGGGATCGGCTGCGTAGATCGATGCTCATGCTGCTGATCACTGGATTGTCTGGTCCTGACTCGATTATTTACAGATCACTGCCATATTGCTGAGTGTAGCGTAAAACTAAACTCACTCACTTTTGATGTAAAACATTGCCTTTTATAACAAGCATTGATTGCTGTGGACCAGATCTAACCTGGGCCTAGATTTCCGAAGCTCACTTAGCGCTAAGACAGTCGTAAGTTAATGTTAATGTATGGCACTTACGACTATCGTAGCGCTAGGAGAGCTTCGAAAATCTAGGCCCAGGAACTTAATAGAAAAGGCAAAGTCAACATAGGGAATGAGGTGAAGACAGACAAACGAGGTAATGAGTATTGAGAAATGACAAAGGGCATGACGAGGAGGTGAATAGGATGGACAAAAGACTGTGGAGCCTGACAAAGATGGACAATAGACTAAAGAGGTGAATAGAATGGACAAAGGACTAAAGAGGTGAATAGGATGGGACAAAGGACAAAAGAGGTGAATAGGATGGACAAAGGACTAAAGAGGTGAATAGGATGGACAAAGGGCTAAAGAGGTGAACAGGATGGACAAAGGACTAAAGAGGTGAATAGGATGGGACAAAGGACTAAACAGGTATACAGGATGAGCAAAGGACAAAAGAGGTGAATAGGATGGACAAAGGACTCAAGAGGTGAATAGGATGGACAAAGGACTAAAGAGATGGACAAAGGACTAAAGAGATGGACATAAGACTAAAGTGGTGAATAGGATGGGACAAAGGACAAAAGAGGTGAATAGGATGGACAAAGGACAAAAGAGGTGAACAGGATGGGACAAAGGACTAAAGAGATGGACAAAGGACAAAACAGGTGAATAGGATGGACAAAGGACAAAACAGGTGAACAGGATGGGACAAAGGACAAAAGAGGTGAACAGGATGGACAAATGACTAAAGAGGTGAACATGATGGGACAAAGGACTAAAGAGGTGAACAGGATGGGACAAAGGACTAAAGAGGTGAACATGATGGGACAAAGGACTAAAGAGGTGAACAGTATGGACAAAGGACAAAAGAGGTGAACAGTATGGACAAAGGACAAAAGAGGTGTACAGGATGGACAAAGCACAAAGGAGGTGAACAGGATTACAAAGCTTCCACGAGGTGAACAGGATTAGGGCTTCCATCGGTACTGAAGTACTGAGGACGAGTCATTTTCAAGGACTCGAGGACTCGAAAAGGGGAGATAACTCGAATTATTGACGTTGACAGACTGTCTGCCATGTGCTAAGCATGAGCGGCCGTTAACATCTAATATTAAGATAAGATATAACTTTGTTATCCCGGAGGAAATTCTTATACATCCAACTGTCTCAAAATGAATATATACGCAGTTCACAAAAATATACACAATAATTACATGCAGAAAACGAATGCTATTTACACAATAAAACTGACATGATATAATTCAATTAACCACATAGGTAAAGAGGCTGTATAATTCTAGTTGTAATCATGTGATGGTGATTCAAAATATTTGTTGCATTCACGAATACTTGATGGTATGAAAGACTGTCGAACTCTGTTTTAAGGGAAGGTAATCGAATCGCAGAGTCCAGAAGGAAGTAGTTCAAAATGGTGAGATCAAATTTGTCAACTATCAAATCTAATTTTAGTTGCCTTTGTGACAATCTGGCTCTCATAGATAAAGGGAATATACTTGAAAGACACCCCAGAAATTTTGCAAGCAGTATTAACAATTTTGAAAAGGTTGTTTTTGTTGCAATGAGACAGACCCCCATACCAACATAGAAAATTGTAGGTCAACACACTTTGAATAAAGGTTTGATAAAAAACTGTCATTACGGTTTTGTCAATGCCTTGACAATAATAATGTTCAGAATCGGTAATTATGCCAGTAACAGTGACTGACTGACTGAGTTTTGTTTTACGCCGCTTTTAGCAATATTCCAGCAACATCACGGCGGGGGACACCAGAAATGGGCTTCACACATTGTGCCCATGTGGGGATTCGAACCCGGGTCTTCGGCGTGACGAGCCAACGCTTTAACCATTAGGCTACCCCACTGCCCCCGCCAATGGCGTCATCTGCGAATTTCACAGTAAACACATCATATATTGACAAGTAACAGTCATTGGTATACAAAACGAAGAGTACGGATGAAGGAACACAGCCATTTGGTTTTGCAGTAGAGGTTGAGAGAAAAGAAGATTGATAGCCATTTACACTGACATACTGAGTTCTATGTACCCTGAATTCTGTAACCCATCTGATAATGTTTTTATTAAGACCTATATTAAATAGTTTACTCCTCATAAGGTGTGGCTGTATGGTATTAGTTGTTACAATTCTCTGCAGATGAGAGTAAATATTATACATCGTTTGAAATTTCACTTCTTAAAATGATAAGGTAACTATCTTGACAATTGATAGACATGGAGAAAGATAAAAAAATCAAATGTATGAGCGTATCTTGATCTGGATTGAGAAAAGAGAAAAATAACCAAATGCCGCCTGTGCGTATATCACTGTGTTTTGCAGGCAGTACAAGAGTGAGTGACTGAGCTTGGTTTTACGCTTTTAGCAATATTCCAGCAACATCACGGGGGGGACACCAGAAATGGGCTTCACACATTGCACCCATGTGGGGAATCGAACCCGGTCTTCAGCTGTCGGCGGGACGCTTTAACCATTAGGTTACCCCCACCGCCTCTGGCAGTACAAGAAGTACGATGAAAACAAGTGTCAAGTAAACATCCAAATACTGATTCTGACCAGTGGGAAATGTTAGTCACATAACGATATGAAGTCGGAATGAAGTAAGTGTTCACTTGTGTGATCGGAACACATGTCATGCAAGTTACGCTATTGTTTGCTTGAAAGGTATGAATTTCGAGTACTCGGGTCCGAGTCGAGTCTCACCCCTCGAGTACTCGAGTCCAAGAAAATGGACTCGTTGAAGCCCTAAATAGGATTGACAAAGAACTAAAGGGGGGATTTGGACGGACAAAACACTAAAGACTAAAGGGATGACAAAGATGGATCATGAACTGTGGATGCACAATAATTGTCAGTACCTGCCACTCCTTGCACTGAGGATCTCTTGACAGCATAAACAAGACAACAGAATTGTACAGCTGGAAGATCTGAAACAGAACAACAGCATTGTACAGCTGGAAGATCTGAAACAGAACAACAGCATTGTACATTTGAAAGATCTGAAACAGAACACCAGCATTGTACAGCTGGAAGATCTGAAACAGAACAACAGCATTGTACAGCTGGTAGATCTGAAACAGAACAACAGCATTGTACAGCTGGAAGATCTGAAACAGAACAACAGCATTGTACAGCTGGAAGATCTGAAACAGAACAACAGAATTGTACAGCTGGAAGATCTGAAACAGAACAACAGCATTGTACAGCTGGAAGATCTGAAACAGAACAACAGCACTATACAGCTGGAACATTTTAAACAAACAGAACACAACATGCATTTGAAACAGAACACAACATGCATGTCACAGCGGGTGTGATGGACATGATCAGTATTAAAGTAACACCAAAATATTGTCCTAACTGACGATTCTGGTACTCAGTGATACCCAGCTAACCAAAATTAATGCTAAAACACCACAAGCTGAATATTTCGGACAAATCAAGTTGATCTATTTTCTGTACAGCTAATTCTACATTGAAGCAAATCATGAACTAATACAATGACAAAGTAGATCAACTATGACAAAATCAAAGCACCAGCAGTCAAAGTGAATCTGTGAAGGGCTTGGTCTTGTGTTGGACCTTCACAAATCCTACTGGCTCTCATGCATATTAACTTGATATCTTACCAAAAACACATAAAGATATTGTGCAGATAAATGTTGCAGACACAAGTATTGCACATTATATCTAGCTTAGTTAATGACCCTTTGCCATAACCACCAGAGTAGACACATGTACAGATACTTTAGTTCCTCGTTATACTTACATAGCCACCAAAGTAGACACATGTACAGATACTTTAGTTCCCTGTAATACTTACATAGCCACCAAAGTAGACACATGTACAGATACTTTAGTTCCCTGTAATACTTACATAACCACCAAAGTAGACACATGTACAGATACTTTAGTTCCCTGTAATACTTACATAACCACCAAAGTAGACACATGTACAGATACTTTAGTTCCCTGTAATACTTACATAACCACCAAAGTAGACACATGTACAGATACTTTAGTTCCTCGTAATACTTACATAGCCACCAAAAAGGAAGGGAAGAAGGAACGTCATGCCCTTCCACATCCAGGACATGAAACCCTCTGTAACACACAAATACAGCTTACATCAAGCTCTGGAAAACAGCGTGAGGTGAATTGAAATGGGGTTTTACATCTCAGTCAAGATCACTGTACCATAACAATGTGCATGTACATGTGTCTGTGTGGCTGTTCTGTGTTCTGACTTCTGCAGGTTTAATTGTGCTAGCCCAGGAGTGAGTGAGTGAGTTTAGTTTTACGCCGCACTCAGCAATATTCCAGCTATATGGTGGCGGTATGTAAATAATCGAGCCTGGACCAGACAATCCAGAGATCAACAGCATGAGCATCAATGAACCAATGACATGTGTCAACCAAGTCAGCGAGTCTGAGCAGCCGATTCCGTTAGTCGCCTCTTACGACAAGCATAGTCGCCATTTGTGGCAAGCATGGGTTGCTGGAGACCTATTCTACCCCAGATATTCACGGGTCGCTAGCCCAGGAAGACACCATAACATAGACATCCCACTCATAAGCAAAGACTCTTTTATCATTTTAATGCTGAGCATCAGGCAGGTCGACCATAAAGTACAGACATTTTGAGTCTTTTGATATGACTCGGTCAGTGGTTTGAACCACCGACCTTCTACTCTCCCAGTAGATTTGATCCACTGGACCGCCTGGGTGTTCCTTATGTTAGGGTACGGTCATAAGTGAGTGAGTGAGGTTTTGGTTTTTTTGCAGCCTTTAGCATTATTCCAGCAGCATCATAGCAGAGGACACCAGAAATGAGCTTCACACATTGTACCCATGTGGGAAATCGAACAAGGGTCTTCAGTGTGTCAGAGGCCTCAGCAATTTTCAGAAGCTGAAACTACAGTAATGAAGTAATCTAGACTTGCATGGGCTCTCTTGAATATATTTGTTTCAGGGTCTGTATGATTGACCAGCCGTAGAGAAAGTAGTTGATGATGTTGCAGTTCCCTGTGTCGTGTGTACTCACCGACAGTGATGTCCATGTCGTGCCTCTGTCCCAGTGAACGCATACGGTACAAACTCCCACTCTGGTAGTAATACTGCATCACATATACAAAACCTGGGGAGAAAGCCAGCAGTCAGTTACACACAGGTCAGGCAGATAACGCTCATGTGTTACGTTTTTACTATAGGTCAATGCAATTAAGTGGGTGAGTTTAGTTTTACGCCGCTTTTAGCAATATTCCAGCAATATCATGGCGGGGAACACTAGAAATTGGCTTCAAACATTGTACCCATATGGGGAATCAAAACCGGCTCTTCAGAGGGATGGGCGATCGCTTTAACCATTAGGTTAACCTACCACCCCTTTGCATTTGAAATTATATTCACGTCTCCATGTCTTCAGGGTACGATGACATGTGTCAACCAAGTTAGCGAGTCTGACCACCCAATCCCGTTAGTCACCTCTTACGACAATCATGGGTTGCTGAAGACCAATTCTAACCCGGATCTTTGTGGAAATAGTAAGCGCTACGATGACAACCACGTGAACAATTTGTCAATTTTGAAAAATCAAAACAGATAATAAATAAACTTACTTATATACAAGGTGAAAAATATATACTGTCGTCTAAACTGTTGATATGTCCATCCTGTCGGCCTGTAACAAATATTGATGGGATTACATAAGTGGCAGATTAATCGCAGAACCTTATTTTCTGAGAAAAAGGCAGAAAAGTGATTTTATTGTGAGTGAGTTTTTACGCCGCTTTCAGCAATATTCCAGCAATATCACGGTGGGTGAAACCAGTAATGGGCTTCACACATTGTACCCATGTGGGGAATCAAACCCGGGTCTTGTGGGGAAATGAACGCTTTAACCACTAGGCTACAACACCGTCCCAATTGTTGTTTGTAAACACAGTAAGTGTAGTATAGTGATGAAGCAGCACACTACAAAGGATTTTGAGGTTGTAGTATATAACAAAGGTTGTCAAATTCTTACCAAATTAAACTTATTCCTGCACAGACAGTTGACACAAAATGATGAGTGAGCCACCAGCCTTTTATTCTAAAACAACAGGAACATGAATCAGGATCAAGGATTAACATTTACCACTTATTCAAAAATAGAACATAATGATTTCATCATTTCAATAACATCCAAATTTCAAACAAAGGCACATTGACAAAATTAAACTGCAACCTTGGAATAGCAACAATTTGTGGCGAATATATAGTAATGAGTACAAATATTCTATTCATGAATGCTTTATAGTTCATATCATGAAATTCAAATAACGAGCATGCAATGTAATTGCTTAAGTTGAAACACTGAAATGATATTTTCTATAAAGCAAATATAGCAATATTTTATAGCCTAATGCCGTAAAGGGCTTTGGCAAAATAACACTAGTTACAACAGAAATACTCCAAATGGCTTTGATATATTACATTTTGCGGATCTCAAATAGATAAACTACAGACTAGGTCCAAGTAAAAACACTCTCTTAAAAGTATTCGTAGATTCGATTGTTGTGACCGTGAATAATGAATGGAATTCATGAAGGGATACGGTTCGGTTCACCGAATATGCGAGTGAATCGTAACAGGACTATTTGACAACTACCACCATGATGACACCCGCTAGCTAGTGTACTGTACTGACATCTATAAGGACAGAACTTCAATGACAACACAACCAATGCGGACGTTTCTGTAGAGGGAACAGCAGAGGCTAGGTCATGCCCAGGTCATGCCCTTTAAATAGGAAGATGAATGACAGACTTCACAACCTACCTTGATCCGTTGACAACCAGGATGCTCTCCCTGATGGTCAACGTACAGTAGTACCACACCAACAGGAAGTTGAGGACTGCGTCTATCCACCTGCAGCAGCAACAACACCTCAGACATGTGACAAAATGTCAGTTAAGACGTCTACAAAGACCGAACGAACACCACCTTAGCCAAAATGTTGATGTATTATCCGAAACCAGCATCAAAACATCACTCAGATACAGCTACTCCTTCCCTATTAATCCCCAAAATTGTCACTCAACTGTTGACAATGACCATACAACAGCAAGTTTAGTCACAACGTAGATGTTGCTGTACTAAACACCAGCAGCTACAACTCGTCACTCAGATACATCTACTCTTTGTCCATTAATCCCATAAACTGTCAGTCAACTATCCACAAGGACCGGATAACAGTGAGTGAGTGAGTGAGTTTAGTTTTTCGCCGCACTCAGCAATATTCCAACTATGTGGAGGTGGTCTGTAAGTTATCGAGTCTGGACCAGACAATCCAGTGATCAACAGCATCAGCATGGATCTGTGCAATTGGGAACCGATGACAGTCGCCTCTTACAACAAGCATGGGTTAGACCAGATAACAGAAAGTTAAACCACAATGTAGATGCAATTTAACAAAGGGTGTTGTGCTACCATCCACCAGCAGCAATAGCACATCACTCTGATATATCTACTCTTACTTCATTAATCGCCCAAAAGGTCACTTTAGCCACTTCAAGTTAAAGTTTATCTCTCAGGTAAAATTACAGCCTAACCTAAACTATGCAAGCTTCAGGGTATTATTTCCAAATCTGTGCTTAGATTTCTAAAAAGCAAGCTTATTTGCCGTCTGTGACTTCAGCCACTAGTCAGAAGTCTGTGTCTAGTAAAATTCTGTTTGGACTAGAAAGCTTAGAAATAATACTCCAAATGAACAAATTCTAATGTGAAAATAATTATGCTAAGCTCAAGTAAACCGAAAGCTTTTTGCATAGGCTGTAACATCATTTTTGTGGTAAACATAAGCTTTAGGCTTAGAGGCTTTGAATGTGCAAGGGCAATCAAGGGAGGTAATTCAACACAACACTACAATCAAGGGAGGTAATTCAACACAACACTACAAACAAGGGAGGTAACTGAACACATAATCTACAATCAAGGGAGGTAATTCAATATAACACTACAATCAAGGGAGGTAACTGAACATAACACTATACCTGTATTCTGTGACAAACGTCATGACCAGTGCGAGGATCATTATCACGTAGCTGACGGTGAGTTTGAACCTCTCATATTCATGCTTGTATTCGTATCTGTAGCACAAGAGGATTAATATTAGACAAGAAGAAAACCAAGCCAATGACAACTGAAAGAGTAAACTTGTAGCAACAGGTGTGTACACGTAGTTTTCCATTTTGGTTATTCAGTACTCTTTTGGACAATAAGGAGGAGATTTAGGAAATATATATCTGTAACGAAAACACGGTAAATGTGGAAACATAAAAGAAGGCACTATGAATGCCATGCTATCCAGGGACGGATCCTGGACTTTGGAGAAGGGGCTGTGCACATAAACCATGAACTCGAAAGGTTACGGTGGGAAATGCCTCTCAGTGAAAATTCTTTCGGGGGAAGGGTGGGGGTTTTACATCCATAAAACTGCAATGTATGTATTGCGATAAGGAGTTGATATATAATATAATAGATTTATCATATCATGAGTTGTGCATTACAATACAATACTGTTTATCCATGTTACTCACAGTGCAAAAGTACCTCATCTTTCTATCACGAACTGTTTCAAAACTGGTAAAATTCTATATGAAATCCTGTTTCTTACTTGTCATTCTTGTTGAGCAGTGACACATTCACCTGACCGAGGATGATGCTCAAATACAACCTGGAATCAAAGAAAACTGATGAGCATCAATATCAATGTGCAGAGTCAAATGTTAGCAATATTCCCACTATATGACAGTAATGATAATAATAATAATAATAATATAATCTGGAATAGGCCCATATACAGCCTGAGGAGAATTCCAGCCAACAAACCCGATCTTGTCCTTTTTTATAAAGCCAATGAATTTATATATATATTCGTATATATTACGCTGGGTTCCATCCACAAAGGTGCATGCTGAAGGTGATACAATAGTCACAGATGAGAAGTTCACGAGAGGAAATAGTTCCTGGGAATAGAGCTTTCTGAAGAGAAAGGTTTTTAGGCTGGTTTTGAATGTCTCAAGGGTGGGGGATTCTTTAATGTTCTGACGTAAGGAGTTCCATTACTGAGGTGCTGCTACTTAAAACGATCGGTTGCCATAGGATTTTAGTCTTGAGTTTGATACTGAAAGTTGGTGTTGGTTTTCAGACCTTAGACGTCGTAATGGCTGGTATGGAGAGATCAGTTCTGATTGATAGCTCGGTGCTGTACCATTCAAACAGTGGTAGGCAAAACACAAGATCTTCAAGCTGATCCGGACTTCTATTGGTAGCCAGTGTAGGGACATCAAATACGGGTGTTATGTGGCATCTTTTTGGTGCATGACTCACAATAACCTGAACATAACAGTGTCTGGACCAGTGATTGACATCATGACCATCAATCTGTACAGCTGGAGTAAGATGACATGCATCAATTTGGTCAACAAACCTGACCACCTGATTGCTGAAGACCGATTTTAACCTGGAACTCCTGAGTTAACAAGGTTGATACTCATTAAATAACATCTAATAACTAACTGGGGCTGACTTCCATTCTATTTAAAAGCCTCTGACGCAATCAAAGTTTGCTGGGGACCAATCTTAACCCTACATCTCCTGTAAGAAAAGTAACAACTAGCTGTGGCACTTTTGATTATCTGCTGCATACAGTAATGTGTACTGCTGACGGTTTACCCGTTTTTGTGGGGAAGTACTTCCTCCATCTCCCCGGAAGGTATTCTTCCTCTCTAGCACCGATGCTTGGACCTTCTGCATGGACTCCATTTCCTCTGCTGACAAGTCTTTCCCAGCTCTAGGAAGAAATGTAACCATCCTAACAGTTAAATATGATATTACAGTGCTGTACCAATACACATCTTTTATGATATAAGATTTAATAAGAATTTTTTTTCAAGGGAATCAACTAAATGTATCTGACAAAACTGACATTTGCAAGAAAATTGCAATAATTTCTTTCACATTACTTACACATTATCATTACACAGAATACGGCAGGGTAGATCAGTGGTTAAAGTGTTCGCTTGTCACATCAAAGGCCTGGGTTTGATTCCCATGGCTACAATGTTTGATACATATTGGATACATATTGCAAAAAAGTTGTGTAAAACCCAATTCACTCACTCACTCACAGAATACTGAACATATCCCAGTCATGCTGTGGGTAATTGGTGACAGTTTGCTAAAGCCCTAATGGCACTGACATTAGCCTATAAGCTGATATGTGAGGTGAGGTGAAATTGGGTTTTACGTCGTACTTGAGAATATTTTGCTCATACGACGACGTGTGTTTGTGTAAGTGCGGCTGCTTGTACTAGCCCAGACTTAAGCTGGTTATATTGTGCTAGCCCACTGAGATACCGTGCCGCAGTAAAGCATGAAAACCCTACTCAGACACATTATACTGACACGTCAGTCTGCAACACACGATACTGACACCGAGCCGACCAGTCCTTGTTGTACCCATTAATGCCGAGCGGTAGGCAGGGACCAACAAGTACCATATTTTAACGTCATTTGGTATGACGCGGTCGGGGATCGAACCCGCGACCTTCCGCTCTCCGGCGGATGCTCTAACCACTACACCACGGAGGTGGTCATAAGCTGATATGTTCATTGCAGCCTACCATGGACCGAACATTGTGACCTCACCTCTTCATGGACTCCTGAATGCGCTTCATGCGGTACCTGTGATGAGCAATGCTGGCTAGACATTTCTTCTGTGTGGCAGTCATCTCCTCCAGCTGCCTCACATAGGTCTTGTGGTCAGTCTGCAACACACGATACATGGCGGGTCATTTACAGGGATGACCACTGGGGCATCTACACTACTAAAACAGTGTTGAAATTAGAGGTGTGATGATACAGAAATTTCACGGTACGATGCAAATCGCGATATTTTGGAACGATACGATGTGTATCACGATATGCTATCTTTAGTTATTTTCTTTTAAAAAGTGTATTTTGATAACACGTAACAGTGTAAATTTTGACATACCCGTCAATTTCTTGTGAAAATTCACAATTTTAAGGTCAATGATACATATCACGATACGAAAAAAAGTATTGATATATTTATTGTCAGAAAAAATATCACGATTATCGATACTACGATATATTGTCACAGCTCTAGTTGAAATAGTTTTAAAATACTATTGTTATACTTAGTGCTGGAGTGATAGATTAAATAATCGGTCAATTGATTGATCTCGCTTGTGTCAGAAATTATCAATGGACTTGGAGACTCATTGATATTCATAATAAACATACAATTATGCTTTAGAAAGTATGAAATACACAATGCCATGGAGAAAGTGGTCAAATGTAACATATGTTATATTTGGGATTACACTTTCTTAGTAAAGTACAGATTCTAGTACTTTTGTTGGGTTGAGTCCCATCCGGATTTGAACACACACCCTCAGAGTCAGGCACCTAACGCCAGCACACAAAGTCAGACGCCTAGACCGCTCAGCCACCGCGGCTTCCATCTGTACTTTACTAAGAAAGTGTAATCCCAAATTTAACATATGTTACATTTGACCACTTTCTAAATGGTATTGTGTATTTCATGTTTTCTAGGGAATTACTCTTAACACTTATCAGAGGGATTAGGTGCCTGACTCTAGACTACCAGTTGTCCGACTTCCATTTTGGAAGCCGCGGTGGCTGGGACTCAACCTTGACAAAAGTACTTCGAATCTGTACTTCACTACTAGAATCTGTACTTCACTAAGAAAGTGTAATCCCAAATATAACATATGTTTAGAAAATATGTTTCTTATTGTTATGTTTGTTAAATCAAGACAATCACAACTGATGCAGTTTCCTGACTTTTAAAACTGCAATGTAATCAACACGCTTGTGTGCTCGTCTCCACAGAAAGTATCCTCGATCATCTGGATGGTTGTATTTGTCAGTGCCTGTTTCATTTGCAAATTGCTATGATTGTTATCTTATTTCCGACATGAGTTTGTGGTGGGTTTTATGATTACAATCGATTATTCATCAATAACACTAGACATACTTTTGAAAATACAGGTACATCAATTGTATTGGTGCAACGATAATATTAGGAAAGGCTACTGATATAAATCAGAGACTGACAATTGTTAAATGAATATCGAACGATTCTCAACAAATTTGAGAAGTAACTTTGAACAAAATGTTTAAAAAATCTGAAAAAAATATTTCACATCACCAGAAATTAATGGAATGTAACAATCAGAGGAATTAAGAACTACATTTCTTAACTGTCATGATCATTTTTCCTTGAATTAGCAAACATTGATGTAACTTATTTAACCACTGGCTTTTGTGATCAATCATGGTTTTCAACTGTCAGTTTTCCTGTTTAGGACATATTCTTATTGGTACATCAAATCATGGTTTCAGATCAGTCCCACATTGTCATCATGAAAGTCCCATAGTATAAATTTGTAAGGTACAGATAAATGTCTTATAAAAAACTGATGGCATCACAAAACAGGTTATGGATAAGTCTGATCATTCACATAAAGCAGGGAGATGACCAGATTTGAGAAAAGGGGAATAACTATGACATGATTCAGAGTCCCTATTTTTGTGTCTTGTGTCTGCCCTTTTAGTGCTTCAGATAAATTCAGATTGTCTCTGTGGTCTAGTGAATAGAGGTCTGCTCGCAGAAGATCAATGGTTTAATTCCCATGTAATATTTGCTACTTATTGCTATACTGGCTTAATGTGGTAAAACATGGTGTTGTCCACGAGCAGTTAGAATATTGAATATTCAAACTTGGTTATGCTACATGTCCAATCAAAAAGTTGGTTTCACACATGCAAGTGTCCTAATGCCATCTGTATCCGGCAAAATCCCTGACCCAACAGATCGTCACAAAGTTCGTCAAAATATTTGTTGGGCAAGAGGATAGGCTCGGCTGGAAGGGTCCTAAGTCCATATTCATATTGGGGACAGAATTTCACCGGTTCTAGTTTTATACTTAGAAACAAACTGTGAGTAAATAACTGGTGCTCTTACGTGTATCTGTTGCTTAGTGAGGCATCTAACCACTGTGAACGTGCATGGCCAATACATAAATATTCTGAGAAAGTGTTATTCCTCAAGCATGCACAATGTCCAAAATCCAAGAATGCCAAGTGTACGTTCTAAACGACGTTCTCCAGCCTCGAACTTCAGCTAATATGAGAAAGATATCACTGCGACAGTATACCTCTAACTGTTCATATTCTTTCTCGAGGTCATTCCAATCTTCGAGGCAGCTCATCAACGCCGCGTTCGACATCTTACTTCTCTGTGAATAATAAACACTTGATCTCAAACGTCAATGTGCACTTAGGTTTATCCACCTCACATTTTGCTCACAACTGTATACAGAATCAGGGAACAAAACCTCTTTGTAGCTGAGACAATTCAAATATAACCATACCATTCACAGAATAAAAATTATTCTATAAAGAATGTAGTATACTTTATATGGTACAGAAGGTTTAGAACACAATTGTAGCTAGTTTGTCACGTATTATTGGTAAGAAGGATATAAGTTGTTACACAAACATTATCAAGTAGGTGACGAGAAAGGCTCCTCACAGCGATAGATTTTGCGCGGAGCTCTCTTAATGCAGCATTAACGCGACACACTTGAATAATGGAATGTGACTTGTGGAATTAATACACGTACTTCGTGTGAATGTTTCTTAGCACGCATAGTTTGATAAAGGTTAAAACACTTTGCTTTGGAATATGCAGCTGTTAATGTCTGTAGAAATTTTAGGTCCTCAAATGTTTCAAAGAAATTGATACATTTTCAAAAAATGTTCATAAGATTTCATAATAGTGCTTGAAAATCGTCTAAAAGTTTTAGTAGCGTTTTAAAAATGTTTCCAACTGTTGAAATGTTTTGAAATTTTATTCATGAACACACAGGTGAAACTATTTCATAACGTGTAATTTTGTTTTTAAAAAGTTACAAAAATGTTTTGCAAGAACGTTTCTAATTTAACATTGTCACCATGTTTTCCAAACATTCTGGAAACAAGTGCCAAATCATAGAAATAAAGTGTAAATGTCTCAGAACTACTGAAACTATTGTTGTAGTACTTTCAAAATGTAACTGAAAAACATATCATGCTGTAACATGGCGAAAAATATTTCACATGTCATGACGTTTTCATATCACGTTGCGGACATGATATGACAACACATTTTTTTGTGTGAACCTTATCATAATGTTTTAAAAACATTGTCGACACATGCGAACCCAGGCAGTATATGGTGTGCCGTCCACTGGGTAACTGCATATTAGAAATGCTATTGGTGTAGAAAACTGTTTGGTTGCCGTGTCAATATTCCAGAAGTGTGGGTGTGAGTTTGAGTTGAGTTTTAGTGAGTTGGGTTTCGGCGTGACGCCGCGCTTTTGGCAATATTCCAACGAAGTGTGAGTGTAATGACAATTATTTTGGATATACAACTTCTTTTATTCTGTGGAGGCGACGTTTTTCGACATAGATTCTAATGTCGTTGTGTCATTAGAATCTATGTCGAAACGTCGCCTCCACAGAATAAAAGAAGTTGTATATCCATAATAATTGTCATTATTCTTCATCAACTCAACTTCTAAAATGCCCATCAAAGAAATATTCCAGCAATATCACGGCGGGGGACACCAGAAATGGGCTTCACACATTGTGCCCATGTGGAGAATCGAACCCGGATCTTCGGCGTGACGAGCGAACGCTTAAACCACTAGACTACCCCACCGCCCCTTTGAGTGTAAAGTGTGAGTGAGGTTAGTTTTAGCAATATTCCAACAATATTCACACATAGTACCCATGCGGGGAATCGAACCCGAGCGAGCGAACGCTTAAACCACTAGGCTACCCCATGGCATCAGTCAGCGAAGAACCCAGCTGATATACTACGTTTCTAAAACGAATTCAGTGATACGTTTGTGGATAGGTAATGTTCATCATACTATGAGTATTTAAATTACCATGTTTCTTCACAGGGTAAAAAATAGACTAACAACTAGTCTCTGAAATGAACATATTTTATTGAAAAAAAGTTCATAGTAAAAAAAAATATATAATGAAAAGGAGCCCTGAGCTGAGGAAATCTAGACTTGCCACATTTTCTAAACTTGCGTGGACTTTCTTGGATATATTTGCTTCAGGGTCTGTACGACAGACTAGGTAAAAAACAAACATTCCAAATTAACGTTGCGCCGTTTGCGACAACCTTGGTGAGACATCTTACAGTTTTCTCCGTGGATCTCGTGTCTATAATCAAACATTTCTGCGCGTGTGTAACAGAGACCTTTAAAAATATTCAGCATTTGATGGACTTTGTAGATCTAGAAGAAATTATTCGATATTTCATCACATTATATAGTAGTTTTGAAGTTTTTGAAAATTCATATTTTGACAAGGCGATAACATTTTTTACTTCAGAGTTTCGAAACTTTTTTACTTCAGAGTTTCAGAAAGTCTGCCAAAAAACAATAAGGATATTAAAGATATGTGCAAACAATATTTTCATTGTATTTGTTTTTTTAATGAAAATCATCATTTGAACTCTCTCATATTATGCATCATCTCACAATCTGAAAAATTCACCTGGGAAATAAACAGGAGTTACTTCCCCTTATCAAGTTGGCCTGGACATTGACATTTCACGGCAGTGTGACTGGAAAGACTGACTGACTCAGTTTGGTTTTACGCCGCTTTTAGCAATATTCCAGTAACATCACGGCGGGGGACACCAGAAATGGGCTTCACACATTGTGCCCATGTGGGGATTCGAACCCGGGTCTTCGGCGTGACGAGCCAACGCTTTAACCATTAGGCTACCCCACCGCCCCGACTGGAAAGAGCAATGTTGTGACTAAAAAGGCGGGGAATAGGTAAGAATTAAACAAATCTCATTTGTAGATCTAAAGAAAATGTGCATCGCAACAAGTGTGTCTATTCATTATATTATTTAATATAAACTCAAAAAACTCTTCGTAACACATCAAAACTGTGTGCTGTTGTAAATTCAAATGTAATTTAGGCGAGTTATTTTGTTTGACAACGTCAGAATTGGTGAACAAACAAGAACCACACTATATTGACTTCCACTAAGATAGACTTAGGACAAGTCAGAACCTATCCTAGTATTTGCCCTAAGTTAGGATATCCTAGCGCTAGGATACTTTTCGAGAATAAGGTAGGACACCTATCCTAGACCCTAGTGTGATGGATAAGGCTCACGTGGGCGATGACTATTTATTCAGTGAGAGACGCGGCATACATTAAAGGGAGATCACTCCGACAGCCTTATCTAGGTCAACACGACCTGGCTCATGATACTGTCATTACAACTACTTCACCCTTAAGTTTATATACATAATAAACTGTCTATTAATTCCAGTCGAAAACATTTCTTTCTGAATTATCATTACTTAATTTCAAAATATTTCAATGAATAAAATATCAGACAGGTTAATGTGAATATTATCAGATGCTATTTCAAATAACAACAATTAATAAACTTAAAGTTCTCTTTCACACAACACTAAATGTTATAAAATCCTGAAACTATAAAATCACACTGTCTGTTAAAGTCCCACAGACAAATGATAAAGTCACTTAAAAATACACTGGTTGAACCTATCATTCAACTCTCACTGTTCAGTACTGTAACACAATGGTTAGATACATGTTACAGTTAGTCTGAATATCTGGCAGGTTTCTTGATGACTCGAGCACTCACCGGTTGAAGACGATGGTCGCTTGCCTGATGCAGTTTGGTTGGGCTGTGTCTGTTGTTCGAGCCTCTGTAGTGGTGAGAGCGTCCGCCCGGAGAGCGGAAGGTCGCAGGTTCGATCCCCGACCGCGTCATACCAAAAGACCTTAAAATATGGTACTTGTTGGTCCCTGCCTGGCGCTCGGCATTAATGGGTACAACAACGACTGGTCGGCTTGGAGTCAGTATAATGTGTCTGAGTGGGGTATTCATGCTTCACTACGACATGGTATCTCAGTGGGCTAGCACTATAAAACCAGCTTCAGTCTGGGCTAGTACAAGCAGCCGCACATACACATACACACGCATACACGTCGTCATATGAGCGAAATATTCTCAAGCACGACGTAAAACCCAATTTCACCTCACCCTTCTCTAATTCTTACTGTCTCTCCTTCCTGTAGTTCTGACAGCAGCTTTGTACCTCTGTCAGATTACTTCTTTTGTTCTGTCTGTCTCCGTCCTAGTTCTTCTCTCACTCCTTTATGGTTGAACCCTGGGTTGAGAAGTGATGGCTTAATGGGTAGTGTTGTCTTTGTGCGTCTTCCCATAAGTAGTTGTGTTGGTGTTCCAACATTATCTACTGGAGTATTCTGAAGATCTAGCAAGGCTAGATATGGATCTCTTCCATCCAGTTTTGCTTTCTTGAACAGTTTCTTCACAGTCTGCACTGTTCTTTCTGATAACCCCATTGCTCTGTGGGTACTGTGGCGACGAGGTCTTGTGTTCGAATCCACGGTTTTTTGTGAACCTCTTGAATTCATGGTTTGCATACTGTGGTCCATTATCTGAGATACCTGTGTCAGGTATCCTATGTCGTGCAAACTGTTCCTTCATGACATTTATGGTGGTAGAACCTTTCATGTCTGCTAACTTTTGCAATTCAAAGAATTGTGAATACATTGTAGTAGTCTACCAACACAATGTAGTGTTCCTGGTTGTGTTCAAATATGTCTGTTCCTAGTTTCTGCCAAGGTCTCGGAGGAACTTCATGTTGTAGTATCGGCTCTCTCGGTTGCTGCTTTCTGTAGCGACAACAGATACCACACTGTGAAACCATGTCCCTAATCTGTGCACTCATACTTGCCCAGTATAACACCTCTCTTGCCCTACTCAAACATTTCGCCATTCCCAAGTGACTCTGATGAATCTGTGACAGTGTCTAAGCATTTCTCTCCTCATGTTCTCCAGCACAATGATGCTATCACCTTTCAACAACAGTCCATCTTGAAAAGTGATCTGTTCTCTGTAATTCCAGTATGACTTCAAATCCCAATCCACTCTTATTGTCAATACTCTCACCCAGCGCTTGGTTTCTGGTGTTGAATAAATGTCTTTCATATGTAACATTCGATCTTGGATTACAATAACATTCAAACTTCTCATAAATCTTTGCTACCTTTGTCGCATCGTCTGCTCCAGTCCACGTGAAAGTATTGTGAATTTCAATGTCAGAGGTGGGTTTAATCTTTCCAACTTTAATTTCTTCTGACGGCATGTGATGGACGAGGCTCAAGTGGGCGATGACTATTTATTCAGTGAGAGACGCGGCATACATT